TTTTCCCGGCCGACTGGCTGTATGAAAACAAAACGAATTGAAAAACGAGGGTAGTTGGCCGCAATTAATTCCATTTGTATATGAATAAAGCGAACAAAGGGGAAATTTACGATAATCACTCATTAAAAATTTAAGCCCTACCTCATCTTTGTTCTTTTTTTTCCTTCGCAGCAAATTGAGATCTTGCAAACTACCACTCAGTCGTTGAGATAGTTGCAAAATATCACTTTTTGTCAACGTCATTTTTACCAAACACTATCATCGCCGTTGCAACACTAAACGAATCGTTCATAGTTAAGTGTTTAAGTTGGGAATTTTACATTTCTTTTGACGTTATCACACATTGTGTTGTACTGTGGATTAACTGCCGGATTCTACAAATAGTTAGATACCATGTGGAATAAATCCTCAAAATCAACACAACTAACGCAAATATGAACAAGGGAAACGATTAATTGCGAGTGTCAGCCGAGTCAATTGATCTGTTATGTTAAACTGCACGCGACGATGTTTATCTCTCATCATAATAGATCAAGCAGCTGCCAAGACGTTTATTATTAACCTAGTAGTTCAATGTATCCCAGATGTCAGTAAATGTAAGAGGTTTATAAAGTTGATTACAGATATTTTTCTTATAGTGAATAGTGAAATTAACTGAATCTTCTTCGGTCACACTTAGCTTGTTACAAAATTAATGCCACTTTATGGCTCTACGACTAGTTATACAAAACCAAGTTCTATTTTATTCGCACTAACTGGAACTAAACGCGACGTGGAAAGAATGATGATCAAGGATAAAAAAAATACCCGTAAAAATGAACTGAAAAGCCATTGAGCATCCTTACAACAATAATTTTTAAGTAAGTGCTTAATTTAACTCAAAGTCCTCCTTTCAGAAATGGAACAGAGCAAATTTAGACTTCCACATCCTAAATCGCGAAATTTATATTCATTAAGTAACAAAGTTTTCTAGTAGCCGTCTAAACTTACTTTTACTACAGCAAAGAATATCATTTTAAATATACTTCTGCAATTAAAATTTCTTCAGTCAATAATTTTGAATTATTAAATCTGTTATGTTATAAGTTTCATGCGATTGTATCAGAGAGTATTCCTTTCAAAAAAGAACAAACTAGTAAGTATCATACATTTTATAACGTCTCTGAAAAAAATTAAAAAGTAGTTATTTTAAAATAATGGAAAACATTGTATATGTATGTTGTACTCTAACATTGTCATGTTTTAGACAAAACAGTAGTATGGTTTCATTCCAATGTCTTGGATCACTTTATCAAAACAATTTTAATATATACACCCTAGAGCTCTCTTCATTAACTGTGCACTTTCGTTGAAATTGCATTTCAATGTTTTTAAGCGAGTCACAGCACTGGAATTTAATCACCTGATCCTGTATTATTTGAAAATTTTAAAAGCAGAAACTCCAACGTCGATAGCACACCACTGGTAATAACGCACCGTTCGCTTTAAAAGCAATATTATTTCAATTTTAGCTTGAAAAGTGAGAAGAATAAACAAAATGAGAGCCTAATCTGTTACTGCAAAGACTCTCTGTAATAACCAGACATTCATAGGTTGATTGAAAAATATATTATTAGAAAAACATTCTTGATTTTCTAATTTCTAAAAATTTAACATCCCATACTACTACGAACCTACAAGTGATTTCAGCAAGCATTCGTGTTTGACGGTTAGAGATTATTTGATAATTTCCTTCCACTTAGGAAATTATATATTATCTATTTTAACATACTGTTTCTAAATGCACGCAAACTGAGCATGATTAAAAAATACTATTAAGTTTCCAGAAGTGATTAATTATTATTCTTATTATTATTAAATAAGGCGTTCGGGAAGAGTTCTAGAACATGCTATTCCCACGCCGTTAATAAGGATGCTGAAATTAATTTACGTACTTAATTTGTGGAAGTTTTATGTTTATGTTTTTACACGATGTGCGTCAAATCTCGCTTTGAATCCTGCAACTGCTTCGCTTTGGACAGCATCATCGACACCGAATTCCGCAACCGTTGGTGACAAAACTTGGTCGCATGAAATTTTTCCTTTACGAGTTTAAAGCAACGACCTTTACTACGACGACCTTTATGTTTTAGGGATGAGAGTAATCAGTAACACTGCATACTTTTTCAAACAAAACCATCACACTATATTATCAGCATCAGAGAATTTTCCGTCTCTTGACTTATTCAATTTATCGAAAACGATGATCTCAGAGAATTATATCAAAATGTTTCAAGACAGGCAGAAGTGCTGAAGACGTGTCGACAACAGTATCAGCTATAATTTACAGTTCAAAGGTATCGATTGTGACTGGGTCTGGTAATCTCATTCGGATTTTTTTTATAAACAATTTGCTCTTCAGATTTTATTCTACTTTCCCTAAAAATAGACTTAGTAATGAAAGTTCTATGAGCTCAATGCTAGAACTTTTAAAAGCTCTAAATAAATTTCGTTACCGCTTAAATTACACTATTTCCTCGTTAATATAGGGCCTGATAAATGTAACTAAAGACGAATGCTTGGAGACAATTCCGTGTGAAGTTCTTTAAAGTAGATCACCATCAGTGATTGATAAATTATTAAATAATAGGGCCCTCAGTCTAGGTCTCTAACGACTTCCCAAACAGTTAATTTCAGAAGCGTTGTGAATGGGTATAGGATACAATGGAGATTTCAGTTCGGTTCCTATTAATATGTGATCGGATTTACCGACTGGATAAGAGTAGTCAACGTTATTTACGAAGCCCTCGATTAAGTTGAAGTCTAAGACCGGGGATCGGAGCATTCTGATTTAACCCGCAATGTGTGGGCTGAGAAATGGAGTGAGTGGGTCTATGGGTACACCCCAAAACACAACATAAAACATATATGTCTATAATCAAGATGCTATATTTGTATACAACACGGAAGCTACAAAAAATTGCCGAAATGTATCAAGTTGTACTATTTGATTAGTTTTCGGCCAAAGGCTTTTATGTTGTTTCCGTAAGTTATTCTGCACTATGAAGATTAACTTTTATGAGAACTAATAGTTCAGACATAGAAGAACTTTCTATTGACTCGTAGGTTTGCAATTTCTTACTTCGTTTTTCATCTTCCATTTCACAAACAATACTTAATGAATTAGTAAAAAGATCTGGGAAAGCTGTCAGTTGGGGAAGTCAAGTCATTTAATTCGGTACTGGAATGACCTGTGACTTTTATAATAACAATCACCTGCGTGGTTGTCTATCAAATAATTCACTTACATGACAATCAATTTAAGTGAATCAATTATATAACAAAAATATAAACAAAATTAAATAGGGGGAAACATATACAACAAGACAAAAATTACATTACAATTAAGATATCGAATAACTATCGACACTTTAAAAAACAAATAATATATAACAATTTAAAAAGTTGGGCTTTTATCTACGTGGTTTTATGTAAGTATAAAATGAATGAAAAACTTTTATGTTTATAACGTAAACTTTCTTTATACTTTAGAACAGAAGCGTTCTTATGATGCTTTACATAAAATGAGTTGTATCTAATTATAATTCTCACGCCATTTCGCAATATTAAAGTTAATCAATTTCTTTTTTAAGACCATTCGATGTCGATTTTATGTTATTGAATATTACTGAAACGGAAAATATGTTTACTTCCCGTTGTGAAACACTGAACACTGATTAATAATTTCTGAGTTTATTTGGGTAAGGAGGAAAATAGGAACCAACATTACGAGAGTCACCATGGTAGAAAGTGAACTTTGTTGTTAACCGTCCTAACTAAGTATATTACACAAATTAGTTTAAAATGTACATTTTTCTCTATTGTTAAATGTCACCCAACTGATAAACCTGGCAGTCATTCTGCGTAAATATTATTTAAATTATACAGGCAATTTATAATATTATCTACATAATCTACCTAAATGTGAAACAAAATATTTACAATTTTTGGCTATGAAATATCTCTGATTGTTATCGTACAGACAAAACTCACTAATTTAATCCTCACTCCACCTTCTGCAAAAAAAACAAGCACTGATTGTCGAAAAATGGGTAAAAGTTGAAAATTTCTAAAGGTCTGGAAAATCTTATGCGACGATTTAGCTTGGAAAAAGCCGTGTGCGAGTGGGATTCCCAGACTACTTCCACCTGTAGAGGAACTGTGTAAATAGGATTGGCAAAGCAATTTGACTTCTTTACGATCTTTTTTCTAAGACCGAGATTGGAAAATTGTTTTGGGTGCACCACTGCACCTGTCAACCACACAATAATCCGGAAGTTAAAACGGTGTTGACCGAAAAGCGTCCGTATTCCCATAGACAGAAGCTTCTTTCGCTGCACAATAAATTCAAGTTTTAGAAAATAATCAACGACAGCATTTTCACCGAGTGACACCTTCGATTTAACACCTACAATAAATAATTTAATTGATTCGATAGTGCCAACTAGTATTTTTAATAACTAACCGAGATCAATATTTCGACAGCACTGTGGATAGATAAGTATTTACTAGTATTTAGTTACATTTTGTTATTAAAAGTCGACTATCGGTAGCTATTTATAATTAAAAATAATAGTGGAGACTTATCTCCTATCGATTAATAATCAAATTTAAATTTAACACTAGCGATTAATAGCAAAAATTTCCAAACAATCCTGTAGCTTTCATCACTAGATACCTTCTAAACTTGCAAAGACTAGAAAAACATGATCAAGTCTGACGACATTTTGTACCATAAACAGACAATTTTAAATCATTACCAAAGAATAATATTATCTAAAAAATTTCGGATCATCAATATTTTTAAACCCTTGGTTAACAATGTTAACATGTGTAAAAAGCAAACAAAAATTGTAAACATGCTGCATAAAACTGGAATAAGAAATAAATTCATGTCCAAAACAGTATTGTGCACGTAAAATGAAACAATCATGCAGGTACAAAAGCCACATCGAACTTACTTTTGCTCTCGGTTTATCCAGATAAGAATAAGATTGCTGAAAATTCACACAACATCAGTAACATGCTTTTTAGTGGGTTAAGTTTAATGATTATCTACGCCCTCTGAAATCTAATTACATGACGATGAAAACAATATAAAATTAAAATCATGATATTTTTAGAATATATTTGAGCATCTTGAAGATTGCCAATGAAAATATCATCGAATACGTTTAAATTACCAGAAATTCGAAGTTCCTTACGTTGTAAATTTGTACTAAATTTAATTTCGTACACCAGACGGTTTTAAATGAAACAAGCCCAAAAGCTACATTCGTGGAATAGTTGTAAATATGAGTTATAAATGTAAATACGAGTATGAGTTAAAATAAGGTTCAAGAGCACGGTGTATTTGATGTGACGGACTATACGTTGCTGTGTGTGCTCTGCTGGTCTGGTTGATCTTTCCGGAGCCGTCAAATTGAAAATTTTACTGAAGTTAAATTTCACTAAATGGTGAATTTAAGGGCGTGAAAATTGAACGAAGATTTGTATTCGTTGGGACAGGACGATCTTGGCTGAGAGAAAAGTTTGATTGAGTTCAGTCAATTTTTTACAAAACCTAATATAATGAGGACACCGTGCGAATAGAACAACTATATATTGCATCAAAGTTAAGAAATAAATAAAAATCTAAGTAAAATTGATACCTTATCATGTTTGGTTAGGGTTTTTATGTTTTTTATGGCGGATGTCCGCTCCGTTAAAACAAGCATTGGCACTGTTTTGTTGGCCTGCTTCCATCTTTGAGAAAGAAAATTATCGAATTTCCAATCACAAACTTCTAATCAAAATTGATTTGTTCAAAACCGGAATCGCGCATTCTCTAGTTATCAAGGCACGTGTTGTGCTGAGAATCAATAGGGATAATTGTACACATAACTAGCAATACAATACATGAATTTGCATTTGAGTGGTAAGCAGACCCTGAAGGGAATTACATACGATTAAACTTGGTATATTAGTTCATTTTCAGTCCCACACGCCCATAGTTAGTCCATTTTATACATGAATATCCATTCTGATAGATACATGTAATTCTAATCCACTAAAGACATTTTTTCACTTTCATAAATAAAAATTAGGATAAAATTTTATCGTATAATGTATAAGAATAAAACAAATGTTAGCAATTACATCGACAAAGTAGTTATAGTGTACTGGTCATGACAACAACTTAATTTACTTAAAATCTGGTTAATTATGGTTGACTTGTTAAAACAATATGTTCGGTGTTTTTAAAATTGGTTCAGCACTTCATACATATTCATATATTATAATAAAAAAAGTATTTCCCTTGCGGAAGATTCGGTATGCGGTCCCGTCGGTTTATTAAGCATTATACAGAGTGATAATAAAGTCACGTACCAAACGAAAAACTGTACTTGAAAAACAACAAAAGCAGCTCAACAAAAGTCTCATTTTCGGCTGATTAAACAGGCTGAATCTGTTGTTCTATGGACGATATAACAACGTTAAATATTTTTAATGGCACGATAACTCTCTGGATTTAAAAGTTCGTAATTGGCTTTTATAAAAACTCCAGATTCATCATAATTCTTTAAAGACATTTTATTTTGATTTTTAAAATGATTTTAGCAAAAATACTGAACGTATTTGCGTAATTCTCTGTTTCAGTTTGCAGCACTACTGTGAAATGTAAAATCTACGGCCCAAAATTTCAGCTGTTCAGTACAGCTGTTGCCAATTTTGATGGCACGTCGATAAAATCCGGCAAATCACCCACATTATGAGATTAGAGAATTGAGAAGGAAGATTTTTTATGGTCACACTAATATCGCCATATTTAAATTACAAATAATTTGAACTTAAAATATTTTCTGTTGGCTTTTATGAAATTAGCTGCTTTAAAATGTGATTTTTATGTGACGTCATCAATTGTAATCTAACCTAATCTAACCTTACCAGATAACTGAAAGTATTTTTCTGAAAACCTTCAAAACCTATTTTCAATCTATTCCATTGGACATTTCTTGATTAAATTTTCAGTTATAAAAGAAAAACATTTTTGAAACAACGAAACTCGCGAAGCAGCACATATTTTACTCGCTGGACTGAAGATGAAAATACACAAATGCAACATCGTTTTTAAAAGAACAAAAATCATGCGAGTACTGAACATTGTTGCCACATCTTCAAAATTATCAACCACGTGTGACAAATATCAGGGGAAAATGCAAACACCTATAGATAGGATGTTTTAGGGTTACATACATGCCATTTATAATGTTCATTTTTAAAAACACGAACATGCACAAAAACAGTAAAATTTTATTGCACCCATTGTTATTTAAATGGAATTAATTAACAGAGAATTTATATTAAACAATATCCAGTAAAATAGCGTGTGAAGTAATTTTTTATTTATTGTTACTTTGTTAAATTCCTCAATATTATTAGTTTATTACTTATGATGTCGCTAGCTTCAAAATTATCAGCGACATTTCAGTGCAAAATTGTTGCACGCAATGAATAGAAAAGATTTCAGCATTCCTTGTACAAAAATTTGTAGCATCTGTAACGGACCCATTCCGCAGTTGTTAATTTCTTTAAACGAAACCATTAACACTAAAACTCGACAAAACTGTTCTAATTACAGCGAAGCCGGCAGCAATATCGCCTGAAAATTACAAGAACGAAACAACTATTTGGACACACGCCTCGTCGATTATTGAAAATGAATGTTCCACGTTTTATATAGCTGGCGAATATTCTGTGAAAAAAATTAATTAAATAGATAAAAGCTCTGGCGATTTTGTTTAGAAAATGAATTCGAATAATTAAAAATAACGGCGGTTTGGCAACATCTAAATCAATATTACTGTGCTAAAAAGTGTCCATTTCATTTCAATTAAATTTTAATATCTATGAACAAACACACGATGCTTGGAGGTTTAACAACCCAAATTTTAACTCTATTTAATATTTTATTACGAGTTGACGAGGGTATAATATGGGGCGAAAGTGAGTGATTTAAATGATTAAAATATTAATGCCACACAACGTAAACATCAACGACTTACCGTTTTGGCGTGCGATTTGGACTTCCTCATGCTGGCTGCGCGTGATTTCACTAGACAACACTGTTTCTACCATTGTTTCCCAAACCACTCCAAAATTGTGGTTCTGGAACAGATATAACAAGTCAAAACAAATGACAATAAATCAGCTAGACTGAGATTAATATACAACTGAGCGTCTAGTGTAACTGGATTAACCAGCCGCCTATTACTATCACTGAACTTCCCTCACGGCTGCAGCACAGCACAATTCAATACAGATATCTTTAATAATTTTTGAAATCCTTGCCCTTTGCGGTGTTCAAACTAAGTATTAATCATGGGGTGTACTACGAAACGTTAAACAGAACATAATTGTGTTCGTAGGATTTCAGGAAAACTGAATAACGGTTTCTGACATAATTGATAAAATAAACCGATTAAGATATTAATTTTTTGAATTATCTTATCTAAATAACTACATGAAATAAAAAAAAAATGGTTTAAATTTATTTAGACAGAACTTCTCTCGTCTCTGCACGACAATTCATCTATAAATCAAGTCAAGTTTCTTGGACAAACTATAAATTGGGATGCTGATTTTTTAACACTAAACTGACTGTTGTGAAATTTTAGGTGTGTTTTAGGAATATGATGTAAATGGTAAAACAATAACCAAAATTTATCTCATCATCTCCACGAACAACTTGATGCCATCATTACCAAATTTTGTACTACTTCAGTATTATAAAATAACATCCTTTTGTACTTGTTTATTAATCTGCCCTTATTTTTTGCCTTGGACATCTACATTTTTGGAAAAAAAAACAAATTAGTACATTACAAATTTGTTTTTTATAATAAACAATTAATTTACAAATTTATTGATATCATTTCTCATTTAAAAGATGTTGACTCAAGTATTATTTTGGAACACTCACTGCAGCACTCAAAGTTAACAAATATTAAATTAGGGTAGATATCAGAACTTGCGCAAGCAGTAAAAATTACGCTTGGGAACAGTACTAACACTGTAAAGTTCAAAAACAATGTATAACGTAATATACGCTCAGAAAAGACGATATAAAATAATCGTTTTATACAAACTTTTCAGACGTTTAAAAAATAAAAACGGCGTTCCACTTCGAAATAAAAATCAACTTAAAACACCTCAGTTCATGTTTAATAAATTTTTATTAAGTATACGTTTGAACAGCGGCCACTAGACTGCACGCAAAAAGTAAACCTATTATTTCACAAATTCACATTATGAATATATTCATACACAAAGCAATATTTTGTATGGTGCAAATACCACCTATAAAACTGTGTAAGTATTTTTGTTAAACATTTAATCTTAGCTGCAACGTGCGCTTAAACAAAAAACACACACTACACACAAAGTACTCAACAGTCTTTTTGTTAAATAAACGTACACGTATTCAAATTATTTCAAGCAAAATAAAAAGCATTGTCCGTGCAAATATTTTCATTTTCCCTCTTAATCGTTTTATACGGCACTGGTAAACAGCACTAGTCGTCCAAAAGCAACATCGTGCAGTGTTGAGCCCCTATGGATTTCCTAGCTTAGCAAACATTTAGATTGTGTTTTAAATTTTTGGTGCAGATTTTAGAATTAACGAACGGTACAACGTTTATTCCCCACAACACCGAAATACACAAAAAAATCGACGCGTTTCACCAACCACGTTGGCATTATCTCGACAAAACTAAACTATACTAAACTAAAATAGTGTAGCTTATAGTGTTATTGAGCACCGAATGATTAAAGAAGATTCGGCAATAACTGACAAAAACAAATTGGCTACGGTTACCGGGTTCTACCGCACCTTCGGCCCGAATAAATATCGAATCCCTAAAATTAATCACATATTGTTTCAAATAAAAGAAATTTTGTTCAATCCGAACAATAACAAACTTAAATGGAAAAATTTAATCAGAAATTTTATAAAATCGGCCGCACACCTCCCATTCTATATTCTGACATGAATTTTCACCTGCCACCCTCAAAGTTATGATGTCGTTAACATTTTTAACAGCAAAACATAATCATTTCGCAAGTCACAAAGCGACAAGGCGATGTCGAGTCTGTACACTCCTTTAATACACAAATAAAAAATTAATGTCGCTAAATGAAAAAATGTTGATGAAGTTAGTCTCGACGTTACAAAAACAGCTCGACATAATCGTGGCTTTTCATTAAATTCCTTCTAGTTTTTTATCAACTGTGTAGTTCAACGTAGTTACATTGTTTGCAAAGCATTGTTTCACCACTGAAAATGTTACGTTAGTGTTGAAAGAGCTTTTAAATAAGTAATATTGCAAACGGGTTACTGTAAAAAAATACGAAACTTTTGGATCAACAAAAATGTTTAAATATGTTCCCAAAAACTTGACGTAAAATTAGTTGCAATTTTTCTCGTTCAATTTCTTACAGTAGCTATTTCTGTTGAGTGCAGTAGGTTGCATTCTAAAGGCGAGGTTTTAATTTTGAGTCACGACGCGAAGTGCTTTAATAAAGCCGAGCACAAGTATTGTATTAGATTTTTTGCTTGAAGTCTTTTTACTTCATATTAATATTACAAAATCAGGCCTTTGAACAATTTTGTTAGAAAAACTAAGCGACAAAGTGGGTTCGCAACAATAGCCTATACTTATTTGTCAAAATTTTGAACCTTTAACCAATACATTCAAGTGTCAAAATAGAATGACAGGTGGTGACAAAGTAGATTGTGGCTAAAGCTAAACCTTCATCTCTAAGTATAGCTTACAAATAATACACAAATGTCAATTTTTTTTGGACATGATGAAATATGGTGCAAATTTCGCTTCATTTTCACTGAATGACATTTATAAACACAAATGTTTGAATTCGGAGGTATATTACAGAAGGGTCACTTAAATGTCAAGCTCAAATTGAATTTTTTGTTTATACGCAGAACATTTGCTCCTGTATTTATAAAGTTCATTGCACACAAAAACCATGGCTTTCAGTAGCGGCTCGTGGTCTTTTCGCTAGGTGAGGCAACATTTTCGTTTCAAAATGAGCAGGTATTAATTAACATGTTCGCAATTACTTTTGTTAAAAGACAGATTGTTTATTCATTTTTATGAAAACAATACAAATAACTCTGAGTCAGGAACATATCTCGATATGGGTACACTTCTCAATTAAAAAACATTTAATTGCTTTACACAAATCAACGAGAAGGTGTAAAGACTACAGAATTTGCTTTATTAGCATTAAGATTAATTCATGTGATCTAGGGTTGATTTAAATATATTAATCAATTAATTAATAAAGTTCTGCTCAAATATGGATGAGAGGTTCTAAATCTTTGACATACAATTGTTCGTCGTAAGAAAACCGTGCTTAAATATTTAAACTTTATAATAAATTCTGGAGATTAGAGATTCTTATGTTCCTATCAGCATTGCAAAACTGACATTTTCATTGTCCTACTGTTTTTAAGTTAACTTAAAAGTTTTAATACATAACCTTGGCAGTGGACACCTTTCCTCGCGTCTAATTCATGCACAACTAAATGCACACTAAATGCGTGCAGTTTCACCGTGAGATTAAAAAATTCGATCTGATTGGCTTAAGGACGGTAGGCGTTGGTGCCTCCGCTGGCGCTTTGATAAAGCACTGATGACTATTGTCTTTCTCAAAAACATATTAGCACCACTGACTAATCGTACTGAAGATATCCGTCTATCTGAGGCATGCCTCTGTCTGAAGCTGGCCTACACGATGATGATCAGCGCTTATTCCTGTCGAAAGCGCGTACTTCAAATTTGTTACCAAGATGCGTTTTAATAAATCACAGTGTTCTATAAAAGTTATTTGCTATATCTTTAAAATATATTTGAAATTAACAGATATTAAAACAAAAACTAATAGTCAATTTTTCCAGGGGAGGCACTGCCTCCCCTGCCTCCCCTGACGAGCCGCCACTGATGGCTTTAGTGGTAAAACAAATAAACTAACACTAAATATATTTTTAATATTAAATTAGTTAGGAGGAAGTAGATTAATGAGAACAACCGTTTAAGCAGATACATATATACAACAATATTTACATTATCAATATATTTGCAGTAAACACGATTAATTTATGTTATCAAAGCTTTATCAACAATTTTTCGAACGCCGGTTTGTTCATTGACTAGATGAGTGATGGAATTTATACAACCAACCATTCAATTCTTTTTAGTTATACACGAGGTACAATACTTACATTTAATAACATGGGTGTAATACGATAATTCAAGATTGTTATAATACTACTACGTCTATAAATTTTAGCTTGAGTCACCCCCTATCACATTCTTGGATTTTGAGCGACGCAACCATCAAGTTCGAATTTCCAGCAGCATAATCCACACGCAGAGATCTTTTCGAGGTAAGTTTCTTTATACTAAATAAAATGAAGTGAATTTGTGAACTTAAAAAAAATCGGCACAGCATACAAAGTTGCAAAATCAAACTTCCAGACACATCGCTACATAACCTCAAAAAAGTTTTAAATGTTGCGTTCCACTATGTAAAAAATTATTTTCATTCATAAAAATAAGACACACTGTCGCTACACTCCTGCGAAATAAAAAATCACCCCAATGTATGCTCATTTTATTTATTTATTTATATATTTATTATAAACTACTGATAATTTGCAATGCTTTTTTTCTATATGAAAAATTCATCATTTTTATTTAATTGACGAATTCTTTTTTTCTGTGTTATAATACAGTGAAATTTTTATTTACCTTGGCATGCGGCGACGAAAATTATTTATCGTAAAAACACGACAACACTGTTAAACAACACATCCCCTCGCGAGTTTAAAAACCGACTAATCGTGCAGATCGCGTTCGTCAATGTTCGTTTAGGACGCGTTACTCGGTTGTTTCCGCAAAAAACGTCATTTGTGCAATTTGAGCGCACGTGACGTGAGTTCGTCTATTTTGTTTACCAATATTGATATTTTTTAGTCATTTTAATTACAAAAAAATAAAATGTAGGTGATAATTAAGTTATACATGTTTAGTTTTATTTATTTTAAGCAAGAACAAATTGTGTTTAACACAATTTGGTTGCCATTATTTTTTTTTCCTTCTGGAAACGCTTTAACATTGGCTTTTATTTGTTTTTTTCGTTATCACTTCAAAAACAATAAAAGGAGTCTTTATTTAAGTAACACTCGGCAACAGCTAAGACTTAGTCTTATTAGTGACACACATCGATATCACACGTAATTTATTCTCTCTGGAACGATCAGATTGTGCTAAAGGTATGTGAATTTGTTTTGTAATCAAACATTGTATATCAGTGCTGCCAATAAATTTATTGCCACCCTGTGATATTACATGTCGTACGTTATATATTTCGCATAATATATTACGCTAGCGAATTTCAATATCCGCTACTCGAAACAATACATTTCCGTTAATAAGTGGGCAAAAATTTGAAAACGGAGAGATTTTATAACCATTTTAGAAAACTAAAGGTACCTACTATTTTTTTTTTCTATCTAATAAATGTCTAAGCTTTTTGAAATCTTGTAATAATAGTGGCAATGGCATACCTAATGAAACTTTCCGTGAAGATAAGTTAGATTAATGTATTGCAATTGTTTTTCGTAATATATATGTACCTAAGTTTATACAGGTGTTCCATAATTATATATTATAGTCCGTCGGTTGCTTCTACTACACGTTTAAAAAGCGTAATTCAGAAAAACCCTTTTTTATTTAATTAACCCCCGAGACACGGTAATTAATCAGAACCAAATTTTGGCGAATTATATTTTGAATGCCAGTGTATACGTCTTTGTCAACTATAGCTTAAATTTCCTCGACTGAAACTGCAAATCGATTCTAATTTAAATAACAAAAACTTGATGTCGTGTCATTTTAATGTTACTTGTAAACACCAAAAAGTCGTAGGAAATGGCAAATAAATTTAGCTAGTGTGGTTCGTAAAAATGTCAACATTTTATTAGTGATTCATTGTTGCTGTGTTAATCATAATTCATAATATATTGCTGTAGTGTTAATCAGTGTGGAAATTACGTACGGAATAAATTTAATTATTTAAAAACCTGTAATATTTAAATTATTTTCATAACTGCGCGTTTTTACGACGCCCTTAATTTTTAACGATGACATCACAACGTGTACTTTTTGCCCTCCTGAACTCATTCATAAAGAGTTGGCTTCCACAGTAACTACGATTTTACAATCATTCAGTATTTTCCCACACTCCAGTGCGGTAAAATAACTCAAAATTTTTTAGGTTTCAGAGACCCGTGAAAAATAAATTGCTCGCTTACGAACTTAAAGAGTTTAAAAGTTAATAAATAATTTTAAACTGAGTTTATTATGTAAGCAGTTTCCACCTTATACATGATAAATAAATGATTAATTGATTACTAAAGGGTCAACAAAAAATTACCAATTTTGATGTATAGCAACAGAAAGAACACAATAAAATATTCTATATAGGAGCATTTAAACTGAAGAAACTGGACAATAAACTCCCAAATCAAATTATTTCAAAGAAGCTTTTTTTTGAAATGAAAAAAGAACCATTAACAATTACTACAACATTACCATTATAGTCACTAAAACGTGGAAAACATTATTAACATTTAAGTTGAAATATGCAAACTTTTTGGATAAGTTATAGTGGAAATACTATGAGAAGAGGCCGTATCATTTGCGTTCTAAAAATCATCTTTCCCCACAGAAAATGAAGATCTTTTCCACAAAATACTTAGTTACGAAAAAATTGGGTTCTATATATGTAACACGGCTGACTATAATAGGCACTGCAGTTTCTTCCTCCTAATACGCAAGTAAAATTTATTCTTCTACAGGTGTGTTCTTGTCAAAGTATTTTCACTCTATCATCTGCAAGACATTCGTATCCAAAACTATATGTCGATAATCATTTTCTGTAAAAGAAATTCCACGTACCATGCCCATATGCAAGTTCTACCCTGCGAGCTATTAGTGTTTGTGTGCTGAATCCTATGTTGTACCTATTTATTTGCTCGCCGGTCCCACATTTCATCACTATAGTAAATTTGAAAGTAGTCAACTTGGAAATTATTTATTTAATAACAGTTTTTTCTTTTGTATATATTTTTTTGCTTATTATGTTGGCATCAAAATTTGACCACTGAAATGAAAACATTTTTATAAAATACAAAGTTTAACTATATCACGTATGTCCTGCTAGAAACAAGATATATTTTTTAATGTACACACTGTATCTTTTTTTTATAAATGCTGTTTTTATAAAATATGGTCGCCGTTTATTCAATCACATATTAATACCACAGACCTAAAAAAAACGTTGAGTATATTTTACGTTTAAGTTTCTAATCCCTAAAAATGTTACTATCTAATCTATATATTTACTTAGTGATGGTTTACAAGTTTAGCGCACAAATGCTACACTTTCTACTTTAGGTGTAGTAAATTACCTAAAATTAAATCGTGAAATGTTTTAAGCCACTTAGTACAGACGCAACTCATTTAACTTAATTTTAAAGTCCGATCTTATGTAGGTCATGCATTAACTCTTAACTCATGGGTATCTTGAGCAGTATCATATATTTGAGGACTTAGAAAAATCGATCCTGACATTGTAATATAAAACAAAGCGGGAAACAAAATCTGGTAACTTTTTGTAATTATGGCCGCATAAATTCTTTTCTCCACACTAAGTATATGATATAATATTAAAAATGAACTTTCATCTTTGAAATTACAAAATATGGCTTATAGTGTAACACATTTATGAATTATAAATGTATGTTTAACAGTACAACGAAATTATACAATTATATACTATTAGTCAGCTAGTAAACGTAGTGGAATAAACAGTTTGCACTCGCTTCAAAATATATCACGAGTACGAGAATAAATAGTACGTACTACTGCAGTAATATCAACCATTAAGCATTTATTTCTACATATCCCTACCGAGAGAGCAATAAAAAATACGATCAAAAACACTCATCCGTTTTCGTGGATTTGTCTTTGATAGACATTTCGACTTATCAGATTACCGTCAATTAAGTTTGACTTGAAAATGCAACGATCAAAGACAAACCTCCAAAAATCCATGGTTGTCTTTGGTCGTGGTTTTTATTGTTCTCTCGATAGTATGTCCATAGTTTTCTTATAATAGTTTCAACAACAGCAAACAGCTGCTTGAAATAAATCGGAAATAAACTCTTTACTAAATTTAGGGACATTAATATTATTGCCTCCTGAAAACCTGAATCCGTTGTTTTCTGAAATAATATTTGTTTTGTATGTATAGGCGCCATCTAAATCAATAGATTTTTCTAATAGAATTTCTATACTTCTGTTTTAAATTTTCAACATCTACTTATCATAATACATACTACGTCCAAGGACACCTTCAAAAATAAACTGAAACGAAATTTAAAATGTTTGCAATTTCAGTGGTTTTGTCTTTAAAAAAAATAGTTATCTTCATTGTCATATATCAGTTGTTGTTATTATTTAATAATAAGGACTCTATGGAGATTTAGTTCAAAATTACTCATCTAAAAAACCTACACAAATATTTTCTTCTTTCGGAAATTCAGTAATTTTCTCAGTTAAAGGTTCACCTGTAGGCTGATTTTCTCCACGACTTTTAGAAAACTGGCTGCTTCTCATTAAGACGTATCTTTTTTCTTGTGGAGGAGTTTTCAATACATTTCCAAAATGTAATATCTCCATTATAAACAGACGTATTGTTATGTTTTTTGAACAGTTTAGCATAATTTTTTTACAATTTTGATGAAATTTTTCATCACGTACTTTTAAAAATCAAAAGCTCAGTTATTTGTGGAAATTTCGGAACGCGCTTGTCACTACTGTTTTCAGTTTATAAAACTCTGGCAATTACAAAAGAAACTTTGGTGACTTTTTTATCGGAAATGAGGTACAATAAAAGCAGTTTTTTCCACAAGTTTTGTTTAATTCTCTCTCCGCTCTTAAAAAATGTAGTTTTGTAAATTAACACCACAAATTACAAATTAAATAACACTGCATAACATAAAACTGCTGAGAGTAACGTAGTAATAAGTATCATACTCGAGCTATCGCCCCATAACTTAATACAAGATGTTAAATTTTTGTGATGAAGCAAGAAATTAATTCTGTTTTCTTCTTGGTAAATGTTCTACAAAAATCTAACATTTTAGGCACTTTATCATGGAAGGTCAACTAGTACGAGATAAAACAATTACGTAAATGACACACTAGTGTAAATTAATATTTTTCTGTTCCAAAGGTTATCAGAAGATTTCTTTTGCGTTGTTCCATTACGGTACGATGGCGACAATAGCAACTGCTAAAGCCGCTACTAGGCAAGAAATTGTCGAAAAATTGAAAACTTTAACTACGGAAGAAAAACAGCGGCAGTGTAAAATAGTACTAGAAAAGGTATTACGTAAGAACTATAATTATTACAATTGTTTACATTAATTACCTTTCAGTTATTGAATTTGCCTTCGTTTCAAAACTGCAAACGAGTGTCTACTTACTTAAGCATAGACAATGAAATCGACACCGAACCAATCGTGCGACACATCTTTGAAACTGGGAAGGAATGTTTTGTGCCAAGGTAAGTCCTACTTTTTTTTAACTTTGTTGTTCTATACTACTCTATGCGGTATTTGTAGATATAGCAAAGCGGGGATGCAAATGGTCAAATTAAGTTCAATGAATGATTGGGAAACTTTGCCTGTTACTAGCTGGGGTATTAAACAACCTCGTCTGAAAGACGAGAGAGACGATGCATTGGAGACAGGTATGTAAATGTCTGACTTTAGAGTCTAGTAAAAGAATTCCAAAATAGGGGGTCTGGACTTTATCGTCGTTCCTGGAGTTGGATTTACTGCAAACGGGCTCAGACTTGGACACGGCGGCGGTTATTATGATAAATTTATGACAAAAGTTAAGGCAAGTCAAGAGGTTCCTCCGGCACTTGTGGGTTTGGCTTTCAACGAACAAGTTTTGGAAGAACTGCCGGTCACAGAGTGCGATGTGCAAATCGATCGGGTACTATATGCTGATTCACAATAAAACTCTGTAAATGTGTATAATATTTATATACATATACATTTAATATAAAATATAATTCCCTGTACCAAGCCAACACTATAATACAAATATATAAATACAATTAATAAAATCAAGTCCTTGTGACGAAAAAACCGTTCTTAACACTTAATAACAAATATACTAAACTTTAAGTTACAATACTGAAGCACATTTATTAGGCCCGATTTTTTTAAGTGCAATACTATTGGTCAACTACTCTATTGTCATCACAAGATCAGGTCAAAAAATTATGGAATAAGTCCCTACTTGAGATTCAAAGTATTTGGCGAGATTTACTTATAATATCAATAAACACAACCTTGTGGATTAACCAGTAATTTTAGATACTTTTCATTTTCTAATACTTTGGTTCTTTGAAAGACCATTATTAATTTGCATATTGGAAGCAACACTTGTCGGTGAGAAATTTTTAAAATGTTCTAAGGCCACTATTTTGGCTAACGTAAAGCAGAATCAAAGTATTAGATAAACAAAAGCATAGTCAAAGCTGCAATCACAACTTTTGTACTGAAATCGAGATAAAAAATGCCATTATTAAGGCGCCTTTGTGCTGCAAACAGCTGTTTCAAGGTATCATGGAAAACTATTCCCATCAAAACAACACAAAATATCGTTAAACATTCACAAATTAGCATTCATAATACAGCTACATCAAAAATTGACAATCGTTTTCTATAAAAAAATGCAAAAACACTTTCAACAATTTACGAACATAAATCCTTAACGTAGATTATTACAACGGCAGCACAGTTTTCACTAAAACTCAATTTCTAAAGTTTCTACAACCTACGAAAGGAGGCATTGCAGCGCTTGACAGTCTTATATACGTTTTAAAATAAGTTAAATGTTCAATTACTACAGTATGTAATGACACTTAGATTCTTAACAATATTAAAATAAATACATAAGTATACACAATTAGATCAAGTACGAATATTAAAGCTTTTTTTATTCCTACTACTGTGCACTTGTTGCTTACTACTAAAATTTTCAAATTAAACTGAAAATATTGAGTATTTTTTGACCCACTGTGCTTTATTATCTACAACCCAATGAATCTGAAAATGCAGTGTTGCATTCTTAAAACATAAATTAAACATATAACAATTTTTGCGTAATAAAAAATTGAATCAAATACATTAATAAAAATAGAATATAAAATAAAAAAACACAATATAAAAATAAACAATATAAGTAACTCAGCTTCATCGTGAAACAGTAAGTTCATGTAAAGGTTGAACTTAGTCACTCAAAAATATTCGATAAAAGTGCCGTGACTGCGTTTTATATATTCCGTACAGAACGCAGTGTTATAACAATCTAACATCACAGGACAACTTTATCGAGAACGAATATGTGTACTACCAATTCCATATACACATAATTTGAGCTGCCTATGTCTTCATACCCCGTAGGCACTTTTTTACATTGTGAAGCCAACCTTTTTCAGGTCAAAGCTCCGCCCTATAACGCTCCCATCTAGCATCATCGGATTCGTGAGTCAAATATCGTACGTTTATTTGGTTTTCGAGAGTCCTCAGATCGCACCATGTTTGATAGTCCTTTCAAACAAAAAAGTTACAGCGTTAGAAATACAACTATAAAGAACTGACATATTCTGCATGTTTTTGTAAATTTTGAAGGTCACTACAGTTGACTCAAATGTGTATGAATTCTAGTATGGACCTTGCGCTCACGACCTAACATAAAAAATTAAATGAAAACTCTACTGTGATTTTTTCCATTACGCACGGTTTGCCGCGACAACACGAAATAAACCCATTATGTAATTAGTTTGCGTATATGCGTATATTTTTGATATCGCTTACCTGTAACCAAATGTGTTGTAAAGATTTATCAACAGTATATCGTTTTCTCTGTTTAACTTGTAACAAGTTGTTAATAAGATCGATAGCTAGAATAATATGAAAATTAAGGATCACTATAATTTTTTTTTAAAACTTTACCATCTGATGAAATTTCTTTCCACGGATTCGGGGGATACATAAAAGCTGCATTTTGAATTTGTTCGTTAATATCTTCGTCTTCGTTAAACGGAAACGTACCACTAAGACTTACGTACACTATAACACCTACACTCCACATATCTAAAGAACGGTTATAACCCTTATTTCGAAGAACTTCAGGGGCTAAAAATGCGTAGTTTTTGGTTGTTAACACATTTTTTTATTTATCACTTACCAAGATATGCAGGTGTGCCAACAACGGATCTACGAAACGACTTTTCGCCAATAATTCGAGCAAAACCAAAATCACATAATTTGACTTGTGGAAACTCCGCATCCGAGCTTAGAAGCACGTTTTCTGGTTTCAGATCACAGTGAACGATATTTTTGCTATGTAAATGCTTAAGTGCAATTAAAATCTAGAAAAAATAAGACCTCACGTCAAGAGAAGACCATAAAATTTTTGTATCATTTAAATATTTATGTGTCAACAAAACTTCTCTTCATACCTGCGTTATTAGAAATTTTGTAACCCGTTCAGTTAATCGTCCTTTCTCATGTGACAATATCATTTCTAACATATCTCCCTTAAGTTTTTCCATTACTACAAATATTCTTTCAGGAGTTTCAAACATTCGTTCTAAATTCACTACACCAGGATGAGACAAATTTTGCAGAATTGCCACTTCATTTTTGAGTTGAGCTTCTTGTTTTGTTGGAAATCTTAATTTATCTATAACCTATGAAAAACAAGTTATTTTGACACGCAAATAAAAATGATTTAACGTACTTTAATTGCTACGGTTCTGGCAGTTTTTCTATGAATTCCTCCATAAACAATACCAAACTGTCCTGAGCCCAAAACTTCATCAGGATATATTTGATAAATTTGGCTCATGTCCATGATTTGTTCTTCACTTTCATTGCTTTCTTCCGGTTCTAAAAATTTTTTGTCCAATAAGAAATCACGTTTTTTTGTATGTATTTTTAAAATGTAGCAACCAATAAATCTGTGGTGCAAATCTTAAGAAAGCTCTTTTATGTAACTACTTGAAACAAGAACCACTCTATGTTAGACCAGACTATACTTAACACAAAATATACATACTAGGGCCAGCTGTCACAGGCATGAGCGCTTGCCTAATGGTAGTTTCCCAACTTTTCGCTAAATATGCCCCAATTCCACTATCAGGGGGAGGTAAGTTAACGTTATTACCGTCTTGAAGATCATGTAAAGGGTCTTGACCAACAAAATAATCAACATTTGCGGTTCGGATTTCAAAACAATGCATTACATCTAGAAATTCGTTTATAAAATAACCTGTATTAACAGTGAATAAACAATCGTACCGGCTTGTTTAATTCGTGCGGAATCAATTGCTAAAATTTCTGAGAGAGGTATTTCTTTATAATATTTCGAACCCTGATCACTTTGGAATAAAACAATAGCTTTAGTATCTAGACGCCAAAAGTGGCGTCGCACCATTCGATCTTTATTTGTAAAATGCACTAGCCATCCTTCTTTGATCACTTTGGAACCTCTCCTTTTGGTGTGCTTGACAGACTGGACTATTCGTTGTAATGGAATGTTGGCACTCGGAGAGGAAGAAGAACTACAACTATTTCTTTTTTGTGTTAATAATACCAATTATTCTAATCTCACCTGGAAGGAATTGAATCGTTGTCATCATCATGAACTGGAATAACTTCAATATATTTATTAGCACCATTCAGTTTTTCGTTTTCATGCTCATCTTCTGTTAAAGTCATGTTATATTGGCTGTCATTACTCGCTGAACTTTCGGCATATTCAAAATTGCCAGATGTATCTTTTGGTAATTCTCCTGTGCAGTCTTTGGGTACTTTATCTACGCATTTTTTATGGGCGTTATAATTACAGTCTTTGCACTGTAAACCCTGTTTAAAAAGTCCTTTCAGTAATTTTTTGCAGTACTGACACACTGTTGGCCTTGTGTAACTGTGTAAAACAAAAGTGTGCGGAATTTTAACTCGACTCGACATTTCTTTTTCCAGCCATACTGGACGCCCTCCGAGGGATGGTGATCTGTTTTGACCCTGAAACTAATACCTAGAGGTTGTAGAATCTGTATAATCGGTACGGGTTTTTAACATAACCCACATGAATGAGATGACAATGGAATTTTTTTCAATGACCCTACATAAATACTGTTGTATGGCGTATTTTTTAAATAACGCTATCGTTTTACTTACTGTGTTAGCTATTCATGAGTGGTTTTGAATAAAACAAAATATGTATTAAATAAAATATATTCAAAAAAATATACATATAAAAATAAAAATAATACAAACTCTGACTCCTCCACCATAAAAACTGTCTTTCAAACTGACATGGACGGAATTAACAACTAATATATATACTTTACAAAAATTGTAATATAACAATGAAAAACACCACATTAATACCATAAAAAAATTTTTTTTGTTTAATACTGAAATTACGTCAAAAATTCTATAAAGAGAATCGAGGCTACCCACCCAACTAATAAACTAATTGAGTGACAAAAAACGAGTACAAAAGGTATATGGACACACTTAACACTTATACCAAGTGCAAATACTGAGTCATTAAAAAATACCAAGTGGAATGTAATGTTGCAAAATATCTAGTCTTTGTGGCTGTTTCCCCCAGTAAAAAAATTTGCAAGCCTTACCAAGCCGCTATCCTCAGTTTGTGTGGAATTCGCCGACAGTAAAGACGAATTCGATCCCCCTGATGGACTTCTTGGTACTTGCAGTGTTGTTGATCGTCTCCTCTGTTTTTCTTCTAACAATGTATATGAGCAATTATTGGGAACCTTAACCACACATCTTTTGTGATAATTTTGGCCACATCCTATAATAATCCAATTAGTGCTTTTAAAAGTGCACATTTAAAAAAAAATTACCTTCACATTTAAGACCTTGACGAACAAGTCCAAAAAGCATTTCACCGCAAAAATCGCAAAACGTCGGAGTCTTATAAGAATGAACTGAGAGAGCATGAGGTCTCACAATAGTTATATCTGGAGTGGACGAAGATGAGACCACTAAAATACCAGCAAGTTATTCTTCATTAAAGCAGATTCGATAAAAGCGTACCTTTCCCTGTTAACACGATTTCAATTAATGTCTCATCTACAATTTCTGATGCTGAATTAATAAACTGCAAAATGTTGTTGGAATTATATTCGTGTCGGAAGAGCAAAAGGCGATCTTCTAACCTATTGATGCCATGATCAGGTATCTAAAAATGATACAGTTTTATTTATAAATTTGGAATCTAAATGTCAAACTCACTTTTGAGTTTATAAAGCTACACGCTAAATCCTTAATGGTTTTAAGATTTAAGGAAGCTACTGGAACTGTAATTGCATCTCGAATCAATCCAAATTGGAAGAGGAACGTCACTTCTGGTCCTTGTCCATCCATTTTTACTTGAATCTATTTGAAAAAGGTTTTAGTTGTGTTATAAATAATTGATCAATATATTGTAAGATGCTGTGACCTTTCCATCATTCATTCCGCCAATGAATTAATACTGAAATATCAAACCGTCCACATTAGTGATGAGACAAATCAGAACGCTATTTACACATTTTTTAAATAAATTCTGTAATAAAACCGATAGTACCGTTAGGCAACACCTTTAATTTTGTATAAATTTTGCAATACTTACAGCATACGTAATTTTTGACGTCAGTAGTTACACCACTTGTTGTAACCAATAACTACCCACCACTAACTGGTTTTTTACTATTTACAATAACATAAAGCATTAATAAATGGATTGTAAAAACAACCTCTTAAGACACTGTTAAATGACGTATAAACATGACAGGTTGACAAATGACAACAAAAACTTCAAGGTTGGCAACCACTGAAACACACGTGAAGAGTACCAACATACCCTCTCAGAAAAAATGCATTTCTCAATTAAATACCAAAATCAAAATAAAAACGTCTTTGCAAAAAATACTATATAACTATATGGCTTTATAACTATCTACTTGCCGAGAAAATATCAATATTCTTACTCAAATTTATGAACACTGCTAGACCGACAAGAATGTCTGCCATGAAGCAGTGGCGGAGCTGGGCTTTAAGGACGTAAGGATGTGGTCTCATGGACAACGTTACTTATGTGGATAACATGATGTTATATTTTGAGGCTGCAGCACCCATGGCACTTCCCAAACAGCGACAGCTCGGTCGAGCTGGAGTGTGCAGGAGATTGAGGCCGTCGCTCCGACTACTCTGTACAACTGTAGTAAATTTTTTTCTCCTTTTCGATAGTTTCGTAGTAAAGTTTGTCGAGAATTATAAGAATTTTATGGACTTCCAAAGTTAATTCGTTTTACAGGCCTGTTGTCAATTTTATTGTACAGCTGAAGAGCGGGGCGAACTCAGGTACAGTAAACATCGGCTTTCTCCTGACAGGGTCTTTACCTGTACAATAGAATTGACGACATGGCTGTAAAACGAATTAACGTTGGGAGTCCATAAAATTCTTATAATTCTGGACAAACTTTACATACAGGCGCCAGTCGTTTTCGGAAATACCCAGGTGCGTACATACAAATTTGAGTTTGTGCGCAGCTCAAGGTCACGGTCCTTGAAATTTTGAAACCACTGCTCTAGCAAATAGCATAATTTCCTTGTAGAAGTAATAATATTAAGACATACTTTAAAATTCCGTATTGATTTGTGTGATAGATAGATTTGTGAGTAGACATACTAATGCAAGGAATTCAAAATATTATTCAAAAGTTTTTTGTTCATCTCCCCTAAAATGTTGATGATGTCTTGTGTTAGAGCCTCTGGCGGGGACCTGTTTCACCCCTCCCCACCCGTAAGGGTGGGAGCCAGAGCCACCCCCACCTTGGAACACAGGGTAGCATTCATTCTTAATGCTTAACTCATACATACACATTCAATTCTCAATTCTCAATTCGTAACTAACATTCAACTATCTCGACCGCACGGTCACATAATATTCAATTCTTATCATTCTTATTTATCTAACACTTGTCACTAGCAATATACATTTATCTTATTGTTCGCTGGTCTTTATTCATTTATACAAACTTCGACATGGTCCTTCGAGCCGGATTAGCGACAGAACAACAGTGGTAGTGATAAGTGTAATTCTCAACATATCATTCATCGGCTGGAATTCAGCAAAGTAGTTATCAAAACATCACCTAGAAATCATCCGCGCAGTGTTCAACTATCGGTGATGACCGCGAGTGCTGCGCAAAATCCTCAAGTATCATTCAGCGTCAGCCAAGATAATTCTATCCAGGAATCCAGGATTCCAGGTAAGCTTTAATTCTGTTTGGTTGGTGTAATACATTTATTCTCGTACTCAAGATGGTGGTAATCCAAGACAATACTTTTGTTAAATTTTCAATTCTTCTCAGCGAAATAGATTCACATTCTAATTTTATATACTAAGTGCAAAAAAAATCCGAACACTTGTATAGAATAATAATTTTTTGAAAATCTTTTGGGTTTACAGTCTACTACTTACTACTAGTAAATGATGAAAAATTCAAATGGAAATATTAACACCTAAGCTAGTAATGGGTTGGAGCAGCCCTGTTATTGAGGCATTCGTTTACACGTCTTGGCATGGACCTAATGAGTCGATCAATGTCATCCTGATTTAATTCATCTCGAGTAGCTTATACTTCACGCTTCAGATCGTTTAAAGTTTGTGGTGGCCGCTGAAGATGAGTTAAACGTCGTCCTATCATATCCCGTACATGTTCTATGGGTGAGAGGTTAGGAGATCTAGGAGGCCATGGCAATAACTCCACTTCATACTCTTCAAAAAAGTTAAAAGTGTTTCTAGCAATGTGTGGACGCGCATTGTCTTGTTGAAAACCAAGCCCAAGTTGCGTTCTTAAGAAGTGAAGCAGATGTGGTTCTACCACTTCTTCCACATATCGCGGAGAGGTCGTACTCCCCCTAATAAACACTAACGTAGATCTACTACCGTAAGCAATACACCCCCACACCATTAATCCTACTGTGCGGTGTACATGTCTTTCCACAGCAAATTGAGGATTTCGTCTTTCTCTACGTCTTCTTCTCACTAACATACGGCCATCATGCATGGATAAACAAAAGCGCAATTCGTCATTGAATGCAACAGTGTTCCATTCCTTGTCCCATCCACTACGTTCCCTGCACCATTCGAGTCGTTGACGCTTATGTACAGGTGTTAAAGGTAAAACAAAGTGTGGGTGGTAAGTTTTAAGGACAAAAGATCTAATACGGTAGTATACGGAACGCATGTTTATAGGTCTAACAACATCAGCAAACCATTCGTTGGCAATTGCCCGAGTTGTAGACTTTCGGTTTCTTAGAGCTAACAAACGCAGACGATGGTCTTGGCGCCCAGTGGTAGCTCTTGGTCGCCCGGATCCTGTAGCTCTGTGTCTTCTACCGTCTTGACTTCACGCCTACCAACATTCCGTCACTGTAGACACAACTCTGTTAACACGAAGTGCAATTTCTCTAAAGGACAATATTGCTTCATGCATGCCTATTATTCGACCCTTAACAAAATCACCTAATTGTGAATACTGAAGACGTCTTCGCACTGGGGGCATGTTAACGGCTTTTGAAGGAATTTAAATTGTCGAAATCGAATACCGAAAAACGTCAAAATTTTACAGAACAGCCCCATCTTGCTAGACCTCAAATCAGGACAATAAAAATTAAAATGACGTAAAAGTTCTTCAATTGTCTTCATATGTTCATCATTTCTTACTTATACAACAACCAATGTGTGTATAAAATTTCATTTAAAAATATTGACGTTTTCAAGATGTTCGGATTTTTTTTGCACTTAGTATATCAAATGTTGCAAATCATCAAAAAAGATGCCACTTAAAGCGTCGATTTGAAGACGTACAGCGAATTTATTCAGAATTACAAATGCTTGTAGTTCAGCAAAAATCCGAAACAATGGTAGTCCCGAATGACGCGAGTAACACGGAAACGATCAAACCTATAATTTATAATATCAGAGACGTGCTAAATTATATTCAAAAACTATCCGAATTATATAATGTTCTCATTGAAAAAACTAATCCATTGTGTACTTTCTCGAATTCATGTAAGATAAACACTAACGTACCAACCACGGATCTGGAAAAAACTTGTCAAAATTTAAAGCCTTTAAAGGTACACAAATTAAAAAATGGAGAACCCATCAAAATTCACAAAACCCATTTCAATGCTCTACGTAAATTGCGGTTCACTATTGGTAAAAAATCCCCTCTTGATTCCGTTATTTCAAAAACTCCTAGTATAATATCAAATCGTTCAAAATTTCCAAATTCAACACCGAATGAAGATAAAAATCATCCTGTTAATGATTGTTACAAGTCCGAAGGCGTATCTCTAATTAATTCAGATAAAACGTCTATTGCAGAGTCATCTACCGCACTAGACAAAGTAAAAAGTACTGCAGTTAATTCGAAAAACTGTGGCCCAATGTTAGTCTGTAACCAATTTGAATGTAGATCGCAATATTTATGTAAATCCGTAGACTCGAATATTAAAGACAATACGTCAAACGTGGCAATACTCGACAACAAAAAACATTCCGAAAATGCTAAACCCAAAATAAAATGTCATTCCAGTAAAAACCCACCGGTGCTTCAAAATACCGCGCTGGGGTTGATTCTTAGCGGCAGTTTTGCATATTTAAAAAATAATACTTCCCATCATCACAAAAGTAGTTCAGCCCAAATTATTTCTCGGTTTTTGGAAGCTGAAACCGTCAAAACCGGAAGCAGGTCATTAAGCAAAGGGTTTAAAAGCGATCTTTGTGCAACCCCTTTTCAATCCACCACAGGCCATTCACCCCATGGCTATTTCATGGTCAAACACCCCTTTTCGGAAAATCAGCCGCGGTTAGAGAATTTTACACAAATGCATCCAAAGTGGCTATTATCAGTCGAGAGGAAGTTGGGGCATTCCACAGTCCCTTATTTCGAAAATCTACCTAAATTAGGAAATTCCCCAGAACTCGCTCTCCAACTATTATTGTTAGCAGAGGGACGTGATCATAAACGTAACAAGGGTTTTATTGTCTCTCAAAGGAAGTACCTAGACCTTGTGCACCTGAAGGTACTTAATGAAAATTCCTCAAATAATTCCGTTTACCTGCAACACAATTGTGTTTTAAATCTTCACATTTCTGCCACTAAACTCTGCGTAGTTGCTGACCGTTTAAATCTTAGTTCAAAAAGTTTAAATATGAATAGCCGGAAGTATAACGAAATTACTGATAAAAACCATCTTGAGGGCGAGGGCGTGTATGCGCTCATTGTCAGAGTTAAAGCCGTCCTGAATTCGCGCCTTTCGAAGCCTCTGTCCAGCGACCGGAATAATTTGGTCGCATTTATACCTGGCCAATGCCTCTTTCGGCCAGCCATCAACTGGTCCCTCAGGAAAAGACCACGCCGTCGTTCCCATCAACAGGCCATCCCTTGGCACCTCATCCACGCTTACCATCAACACTTCTGGAAGTCGTGGTACCTCGAATATTTGACCACACTGAAAGGCAGGTTAGGGTGGCAAAGGCCATCTTCCAACGTTCCAGGAATGGCAAGATGGGTCCTCGTGAAAAAGGAGAAATTTCCGCGTCTACAGTGGCGGTTAGGACGCGGCCCTCCAACATCATTTTGGAAAGGAAGTGGTGGTGTGTGTAGTGTCGGTGAAGTGCAAAAGATAATTTCGCAATCGCATGCATTATCATTCTATTTAACCATATTGCATACATCTTGTCAATTTGTTATATACATCTCATTGTTGATTTATTTTATGTACTATGTTCTATGTATTCATATTTGTACCATTGTTATATTCATTCGCCATATTATTCACTCATCGTATTATTCATTGATTTGGTACATTATAATTGTTGTAAATTTACTTTTAGGTCTATTGTAAATATTGTGTATCCACTGATATTGTACACATGTAATTTGTTTTAGATATCTTTGTTTTAGTTAATGCGTTTCTTCATGTTCATTGCTTCTGTAACAATATCCATTCCATTCATGTAAGTTCATTTGTATTTATCATTCTAATATTCCATATAGTTTATTTTTGGTGTTAAAACAATGTAATTGTTTCAAGGCGGGGGGTTATGTTAGAGCCTCTGGCGGGGACCTGTTTCACCCCTCCCCACCCGTAAGGGTGGGAGCCAGAGCCACCCCCACCTTGGAACACAGGGTAGCATTCATTCTTAATTCTTAACTCATACATACACATTCAATTCTCAATTCTCAATTCGTAACTAACATTCAACTATCTCGACCGCACGGTCACATAATATTCAATTCTTATCATTCTTATTTATCTAACACTTGTCACTAGCAATATACATTTATCTTATTGTTCGCTGGTCTTTATTCATTTATACAAACTTCGACATCTTGTAATTTCAAAACATGTTAATAAATATTTATACAAAAGTACTCCCTGATTAGTACTTCTCATATTTTGATAAATAATATTATAAGCTATACACAGACGTCGGTTTAGTCACAATTCGTCATTTGAATGATCGATCCACATTATATCTGCCACTTGTCGACGAAATAATTCTTATCTATAAATTTTATAATTCAAATGTCAACTTTGATAACAATTAGCAAGCCCACAACCTAAGAAAGGTGAAATTACTGGTATTCCGTTACCAACCAAAGTCATTTAATAGATAGTCGTTCTCTAGTAACTAACCTTGCTTACCAACATAATATTTTTTTCATGATTTTTTCTTTGTGCGTCGACCTTAGGACGCAGCTCAAACCTTGGTAGAAGGAGACATGGTATAGGCATCCGATGTACCAATTTAAAAATCGTCTGCGCATCTATTTATGACGTCAGGTGGCATCAACGACCCTGTGAGCTTCGCTAGGGAAGTCTAGGGAATTTCAGCTTGAGTTGTCATCGCTCTGTCAAATACGTCAATTAGTTGTCGGCTAACGAAAGGTAATGAAATTAATAATGATAAAAATGTAACTATTGAAAGTTGAACGGTCCAAAAATGTGGTTTCGTACCCATTTCGATAAATGTGGGACATCAGCAAATGCAAATACCAATTTGCTCTTATCACTTGGGTGTTGAAAGGAGATTTTTGACATATTTATGCTCAGTTCTCTCCACAAACCTAAATTCTGCGATCACATCACACTTTCTCGTTGCGCTATTGTCAAAAGTAGCCAATTTTAATGTTTAATTTTTTGTAACTCCGTAACAATTTTTTTTAAGTACGCCACTGCTGAATATTTGGCGGTTTTCTCCTGGAATCCGACGCACTCCGACTGATAACGATTCCACCTGTCATGCGCATTGACATTTGGACGCGCCTGGAAAATAGTCCGCCTCCATTTTATGTATACGCATGATAAAACGGTTGACGACGTTCCAGGGGCGTAAGTAGCACTAATTTATAAAAATCTAACCCTCGCATTGTGTCCCATAAAAATATCGCTTTATTTCTAAATTTCACGTATCAAATCTCATTTCAATAAGGAAAGCTCATGTTTAATCACGGTAATGGCAATTAAGCGATGAGGTGAGAGCGATTTTAGGCTCGACACAAGCCTGGTTGCATAAAGTGTCATCATTTTCCCTGTATTTGTAAATAAGAAATTTGTAAATACGGATGTGGATCTAACCTGTTATGAGCGGGAAATGATTTTAATATGCTTTTAAGAAATGGAAGAGGCTTTGAATGTTAAAACGGAGACGCCACCTCAGAAAAATGAAGAAACGGTTGTTCTACAAAACATCCCGTTGGAAAACGAGGAGGAAATACCGATAGTTTTTGGCGATTACGTGGAGAACAATTCGGACGGAAATCTTCACATTAATAGCGAACAAGATGTCATACATACGTATATCATACAGTAAGCATGGTGTTGTTATTTTTTCAATTTGTGACAATTACGTTTAGGGAAGAAGATTACAATAATATTGAATATGAAGAAACAACGGTTGTTGAAGAAAGAGATGAGAGTGACGATGAAATGTCTGAAGCGTCCAAGAGAGGCGATCATACTACAGACGGTGCTGCTACGGAAGCTGATGATTCTATGGATTATGAAGAATATTGTGAGGAAGCTGAAGCCGAAGATGACCCTGAGGATCAACCTGATTATATTGATCCTCAAGAATTTGAAGGTGGTGATTATGAGTGTGATTTGTGTCAACGTAAATTCAAAACTACAGCTGTAAGAGAGCATGTAGTGAACACAATTTGATTAATTAATATGGAGATATTTTTCAGGGTTTGAAAAGACATATTACTGTAAATCACGCAGAAGAAGAAGATTTGAAGGATCCACTTACTTTCCAATTGTGTTCTTGTTGTGGGGAGCCAGTGGATTCAGCTCATACAGTAAATAAAATTTGTGTGGTACCCCACATTAAAATTAACAATTTCTATTTTAGATTGGAGATTTTAAATGTGAAACATGCGACAAACTTTTCGTGCAGCAGAATAGTTTAGATCGGCACTGTAGTATAGAACATTGTGAAGGTGATATTTACAAATGTGTGGAATGTAAAAAGGAGTTCAAGATGAAAGAACATCTTATTGAACATATGAAGGTGCACCCTCTATCTAAATGCATCAAATGTCCAGATTGTAGTCGAGAGTTTACAAGGAAATATCATTTAGATAGACATATTGCTCAGACTGGGTGTAATGGGGCTCCTAGAAAGACATTTGTGTGCAAAGTATGTAAACTTAGATTATTAGTGTGTCTTTATTATTTTTTCTTGTCTTAGGTCTGCAATAAAGTTTTTCATCGCAAAGATAACTTGGCTGATCATCTAAGAGCCCATGCTGGACAAGGAAAGAGGAAAAAGGTCTTCATTTGTGAATATTGCCAGAAAGAATTCCATGGTTCTGCTCTCCTGAATATTCACATAAGGACCCATACGGGTACTCGTTAACTTCCACAATTATGTATATAGAAATTATACAAAACATTTTAGGCGAGAAACCATATCCGTGTGATTTGTGTCCAAAGAGGTTCCCTTCTAGTGGAGCTATGAAGAAACATCGACGGATGCACACTGGAGAAAGACCTTATGCTTGTAAAGAGGTAAGCAGAAAATATTAAAATAATTTTATTTTGTTTCCATATAAATCGCCATACATCGCAAAATTACAGTTTTTTGAAAGTGTATTGTGGGTTGCCTTTTCTTCAGATAATTAATGTTTTATTTAACATGAATGTCTTTCAAAGTGACTACTATTAAATTCAAATGGTAGGGCTATATTTAGGTTCTACTAAACCAATCACTAAATTTTACAGTAATGTACCCTGATTCATGTTCTCTAGTAAAAAACTGAATTTTGAAAATTAATCTGTGTACATTAAGGAAACTTTGTTTAGTATAGAGGGTGAATGTTTAAAATTTCGTAGGTAATGAAGATTTAGTAAAAAAAAATTGAAGGTCACTTCTGTCAAGTTCGACATTCATTATTGAAATTTAAATGTGACTGAAATATCCTTTGCAATGAAATTGAAAATGTAATGAAAACGTGATTTTCACTTTACAACTATTTTTCACTAGAAGTGAGTCCATAACTTAATTTTCTGAAATCTACTTCATCAGTTGTAAGATTTGTTATAGTAAAAAAATAAAACTTCATTACCATCAAACCTGATAAAATATCCCAATTACCGTTGCAATGGTTTCATAATAACGAATTGTTTTGATTTCAGTGTCATAACAGATTTGCAGCTAAGGAAACTCTTAATCGTCACATGCGCACTCATACTGGGGAAAAACCCCACTCTTGTCAGTTCTGCGGGAAATCTTTTATCCAAGCTTCCCAACTGCGTGCTCACATTTTCCATCATACAGGAGAAAATGCTTACACTTGCCCTCACTGTAATCGAGCTTTTAACAGAAAACTAAGACTAACAACTCACATTAAGTACATGCACGAAGGAGCTGAGCCAATGGCTTGCTCCCAGTGCGACAAAACGTTCTTCAGAAAAGAGGATTTAGCCAGACATTTTCTGTCCCATACAGGCGAAAGACGTAAGTTAAAATTTATTTGTAAAGTATCCAACTAAAATTTACTTTTAGCTTTTGAATGCGACGTATGCCATAAATCATTTGCCGTGAAATCTTCACTAAAAATCCATCAGTTAACCCATCGCAAAGAGCCTCCTTGTAGTTGCGATACCTGTGGCCGCGCTTTCATTCGACAAGATTGTTTGATGCGTCATATGCGGGCTCGACATAGAGATGTGCTTGAAGATATAATGGCCAGTGCAGAGAAGAAGAGGCTGCAGCAGCAACTACTGAATGCCGCTACAGAAGCGGTGGCTAAAAATCAAGGAAGTTTGACGGAAAATATGGTGTGGAATGAATTGACCCTAACTGAGTCCATTAAAGAATTGTTAACGATTCTTGTTGATGAAGCTTGCCTCCAAGATTTTGGATTCCCAGATGCTCCAGTTGATAAGATTTTAGATTCAGTTATTAAGCGATGTGGGCACAAACCTGCCTCTGAGGAGGATTTTGATTATATTGGGAGAATGAGAGAAAATGCCAAATTGTTGTTTACTGTTGTGATTGATGATGAAGCAGTCAAATCTTTGTTGAATAACCAAACGGTGGATGAAGTGATACTGCACGTTTTAAGGTTAGCAAAGGCTGAAAGTACTTAGAAATCATGAACATTTCAAGAGTTTAGGTCATATTTTTACAGTTACAATTTAACAACTTCTTTTAGTGTCACTGTATATATAATTTCTTTTTACAGTAATATATTATTTTGTATACAATTTAAATGTTTACGTCACTTTATGTTAATACTATTAGCAGTTTAATTAGTGATTTTATTTGGGTTAATATGTATGGGAAATAAGTATTGTTAATAATACATATTTTAATAAAAAAAGTTTCATTTCCTCTGTATTACAGACAACTGAAATTTACCTTATGACTAATTTATGAACAGTGTTACTTTGAACACCCTGAGCCACGTGAATAGGAGTTGTTGAATATAATCTGATAGGAAGACTCCAAACCATTGTTTCAATTGGAATTTCAGAAGGTGCTTGCCACCCACACTGGTCAATTTCAGGTGGTTCTAATTCTTTACTTGTACTGGTAACAAACTCAAAATGTAACCTCCACCTTAATGTAACTGCAACTTACATTGAAAATAAATTATTTAAAATTGAAGAATAGTTACCTAAATGCGTGTTAAATGCTGGAGTAACATGAAGAGGAATAGGTAAAATAAGTTGCATATATTTATACCCCAAACACACTTCATGATGTTTGCTAAATGTAGTAATCCTAACTTGTTTAGATTTTTCTTTATTAACGTCAATCAAAGTTTCTTCTTCACACTGCAGCGACACAGAGACTTGCATACAATTAACTGTGGCAACAGTAAAGTCAAAAGTACCAATTACGTCTTCACCAAGTTTGTACGCAGGTTTGAAGAGGCAAAACCTAGCCACTTTGCCCCAAGTGTTTGATATCATATAAAAGTTTGGATTGCGTCGAGCTGTTATATTCTAAAATAACGCTAGTCATTGTTAACAACGTACAATCACTATTTTTACTTGTAAAGTCTGTAGAGAAATATCCAAGGACGTTTCTTTTTGCCTTATTTCTAAAAAAGGGTTTGCTGGTGTAAGTTCCTCAGTTGTTTCATTACATAAAGCGCCGTCATTAAGAGACACTTCACACAATGGCAAAACTCTGATTGGAACTCTTAATAACTTCACAGGACTGTTGACTCTTTGTGTTCCAATTATAATTTTATAAGAATATTTGACCAACTGTCCCCTGTATGAAGGTGGGGCATCTGCTGGAACTTTCTCTCTGTAAATATCTAAAACATTATGGTAACATAATCTTCACATACAGTATAAACTTCATACAAGTTTTAGTTTGACCAGGGGATAGTCGCAAATCACAGAACAATATTTTCGGTTTTGTCGCAATTTCGATCTGACCTGAATCATGACTTGAAGCTCCTAAAGCAGTGTCAGCAAATGTTGGCTGCAGATTTGTTTTATCCACGTCTTTTTGTATTTTTGAATCTGTGAAACACTGACAGTGGATTTGTGCAGCAGCCCAAGCCAAACTTTCAAAAATATCTGTGTGGCTTTGAGACACTCTGTGAGAGGCTAATGGAGGATGCGTAAAAGAAATGCTACATTCAACAGTTTCACCAGATAAGAATACGTGTCCATGTAATAGTTTTGCTGTAACTTCAATCATCGTGTAAGTTGTAAACGAAAAACTAATAAATTAATTTAATTCACTGACATAATTAGGTTATGTTGTTGACAGTATGACAGTTCTGTCAACGCGAATATTCTAGTGATTTCTTGTTGTTGTAGTTGCCACTCTGTAATCCTCAAATTCTAGATCACCAAATCTAACCTCACTTCTCATTTAAGTTTGTGTTTGCGGATTATTAAGCGTTGGTGAACTTTTCAGAAAATATCTTTACAAACAATAAAACGGGCATATAATGGCCAATCGAACGGTCAAAGATGCCAAATCAATTCATGGTACAAACCCACAATATTTGGTTGAAAAAATCATACGGTCACGTATTTATGATTCAAAATATTGGAAAGAAGAATGTTTTGCCCTTACTGCCGAACTCCTAGTAGACAAAGCTATGGAATTACGATTCGTGGGTGGAGTTTACGGTGGCAATATTAAACCAACACCATTTTTGTGTTTAACACTGAAGATGCTGCAAATTCAGCCTGAAAAGGACATTGTGGTTGAATTCATCAAGAATGAAGAATTTAAGTATGTTAGAGCATTGGGGGCATTTTATATGAGACTTACAGGATCCTCTCTGGATTGTTACAAATATCTGGAACCCTTGTACAATGATAACAGAAAGTTGCGGCGACAAAGTAGAGCAGCAGCTTTTGAAATTGTACATATGGATGAGTTTATAGATGAATTACTTAGGGAAGAAAGGGTAAATAGTCTTATATATAGTTTTGCATAATAAATACAATCTGTTTGATAGGTTTGCGACGTAATTTTACCAAGGGTTCAAAAAAGACATGTCTTAGAAGAAAGTAATGAAATTGATGCAAAAGTGTCTGCACTTGAAGATGATTTAGATGAAGAAATTGAGTTAGAGGAAGAGAATAAACATCAAGTGGTAGAAGAAAAACCAAAGGAAAAGAAAGAAAGAGAGAGAAAACGGGAACGCAGTAGATCTAGAGAAAGACATCGTAGTAGAAGTAAAGAGCGTCATAAAAAAGAGAAAGAAAGGGAGCGTGACCGTGAGAAGGAACGTGATAGGGAAAGAAGGGAGAGGGATAAGGAACGCAAAGATCGCGATAAAGATAGGGAACGCAAGGACAAGGATAGAAAGAGAGATAGAGATCGTCATCATTAATTTTTTTTTTATATATATTGTTTCATACAATTAAATACATCAACAAATTGTGAATATCACAGATTATACCTATATCATTAAACTTTCTCTTGAATTTACATATTTATATTATATACACTTAAGTTACAACAGGGATCCTAAAAAGTGGGAGCATTAAGATGAAACAACTTTTCTTCCCTTTTTTTAATCCAATTTAAAAGCCGCCCTACTGAATTAATAGCGCTATTAGTGTCAACAAGAGGCTCAAACACTACATAAAGTTCAAATCCTCTAGTATCCCAAGCTAGGATAGCTTCATTGGAACTTTTTTCAAATAGTAACTTTAGTGGGCGTGTGGAACAATGCAATAGCTGATGAGCCCTTTTGTACAAATTAGTTAATCTCTCATGGTACTTGGTGTATGGTGGGCTTAAACTTGGTTGGTAAAATTGTGCTGTACTTTTACACTTATACAAATAGTGTCTAAGTTCAGGAAAACCAGCAACAATGCAAGTTTCCTCTGTTGCATTTAGTGACTCATTAATAGCCTCTAAGCAGTTATTACGTCTTAATTTTTCAACAATACGTTGTTTAGCTTCACTGAGAGTGAAAAAAACATCTCTTTCTACAGTGAGAAGTAATAAACAAGCTTGACAATCTTCAGATAAGTAGGATACATGACCATACAAAAAACCACTAGCATCAAATCTTGGAAGGCATAAAGGTGTCCAACTTTCTGCTGTTTTTAAACTTTCAGATGCTTGCACTAGGTTAAATATTAAATGAAGATCAGCAGGGTGTAAGCAGTATTTTTTCATTCGCACTAATGTTATCAGCTTGTTGTTTGCCAAAAGTATGGCAAACACTATGTTCTAAAAAAATGTTGTTACATAGGATGAATGCAAAGTTATCTACTATACTTACTTTGATTTTGCTGCAAGCCCCTACAATAGCTGAACTGATATTATCCCTAACAGAAGAAGCCAAAGATAGACACTGCACAGCTCCTAGAGTGAAAGAGGGTTCTCTTTCAGAAAAATCTAATAAATGATCAATAAGTCTTTCAACTCCTGCTAAAAGCCTTCTTAGGTCATAGTTTTGTCGCTGCTCATATATTTTATTCAGTCTAGTTAATGTGAGAACACTAGCAATTTGATTGAAAACATAACTAAAATTAAAACTTTAACAAAGGTGACTATTATAATAAAAAACGTTACTTTAGTTGTGAAGACAACTGGTTAACAGTTTCTTGTGTTCTGGATACAGCAACTAAAATTAATGGCTTCTTGACTAAGAAGACAAACTTGGTGTCCCCAGCATGTATACTTCTAATAGTGTCATCATTTGACTGGACAAAACTGACCAAAGTCTGCATTACTCCAAACAACCATGCGAGTTTGTCTTCATTACCATATCTGCACCAGTTTACAAATAAAATATGTCACCTTAAAATATTAAGTTACCTTGAATAAATAGGTTTCCCAGCTAAGCTAAGAACAAACACGTGTTTACTTCTAGTAGCCCACTCTTTTGATTGTATAAAATCATCATCTTCATTATTACAAGGAACATTTTCTGCAAGGTCTTCAAAATTTTCCACATTACTGTTTTCTACATTCGATTCATCATTCTCTGCAATTGCATTTAAATTTTTTATTTCTTCGAGACTTGAACTCATGTGATCAAAATTCTCGAAAGAATCTGTTGTAACTAGGACGCTTTCGGAAGCTGCCCCCGGTTCGACTTCAAGGTTTGAAGACATTTTGCAATTTATTTGTTAATGCCACGCTCAAGTAGGATTGAAAAGCATCCTTGTTATTGTTGTTGTATGTAGCAAACTGGTTTTTACACAAACGAAGTCAATGGCATTTTTTAATTTTTCTAAACTTGACTGATTTCTAACCTCATTTCGATAGTTTTTTGCACTTTGCTATCACTCCACTACCACCCTCAAAAATTTGATAATCATAGTAATGCCAACGTAACAGTAACAAAATTTCCATTTAAGTAAGTATGAAATGTCACAGATGTCGCAACGTGATTTTTATAAAATTTGAAATTATAATGCAATTACGTTAAATGTGGCTTCCCACGGTTTTGTTAAAGTTGTTTGACACATATAGATATATTTCTGATTTTCTTCAAAAGATTTCTAACGCATTTCATTTAGTCGTTATTAATATCTATTATCGTCTTTTCTTGAAGTACTTCTTAAGACACTACTGCTACTGATTTTGGCAAATGCCATCCTTTCCAAGATAATAAAGGGCGGGTGGGTGGGGCTAGCACTTGTAATGGATAAGACTGATTTTGGCAAATGATGTATCCTCTAAGAAAATAGATGGGTGGTGGGCGCGGCTACTACTTACAATTTAAAATATTTTTACACTTTTGAACTTCACTTCACGAAAACCCAACACGAATTAATTGACACAGGAAGAGAACTCGAAAAAAAAATTGTAGGAGGGCTTGCTGTATTTAACACATCAAAGCCCTTTATAGAAAAGCAAGAGACAACTTGTGTTGGGGTCTGTAAATAGGTGTTTTTGTGCTCTTCAATGAATTTTGTTCTTTGATGGTTTACGCAGAAAAATACATAGATTTACGTTATTGAATTGTTGGCATTTTGCTAATGGAATTACCCCAAACTCTTTTACCAAAAGTTCGTTGTTACCTTGAGCTCCCAGTTCGAGTGGAATTTTGCTTGTTGCATTAACATCAATTTATCAGCTCCTACAGGGTGTTTTATAAGAAAGTAATAGTTTAGAACTTCCGTCTGAGAGCCAATAAAATTAGTGATCAAAACGGATTAGGGATGGGTGGGCGAAGGTCACTTTTGACTATTTAAAATCTTAGATTTTACTGTTTTTCAAAATAGAATTCAATTCCCATTTTTCAGCCAGAAAAATTTGTTTTTTGATTTTCGTACTTCTAGCCAATTAACAAAATCCATATTAAAACTAGTTTTTGGGTTTACCTAAACAAAGTTTTATTTAAAATTAATTATATTGTTTTTTTTGTAGCAAAATGAGTAAATTGATTGATAGGTACGTGTTAATACTATGAGTTGTAATGAAATGGTAAATATTTATATAACATAGAATTCAGTGGAGACAATAGTTTGAAGTCAATTTATAGTGTAAAAATAGTATATTACATATTAGCTAAGTTAATATACTATTTTTTTTACTAGTAGAATCCATAAGACAAACAATTGAAAAAATTAACGTTCAATTTTTTTTGACGCAACATAATTTTGTTTTGATTTCTAATCAAACTTAATTTAATTTAAATCTTCAACACAAAGAAAACCGTTTACAATTGTCGCTGAATGAATCATTTTATCTTCCACCGTCTACCAACTACCATGTGTATGCTCAAGTAATGTTAGTAGCACATATTTATTCATTTTTTAAGAAATAATCACATCAAGTATTTCGTACATAACCTCAATCTTCGTTTTGAACCTTGGTCGCAAAAGTTGAACTTTGCTACCTCTAAATAAGTCGACATTTGCATGCTTCATGGCTGCTAGTGAAACAAATAGTCATTGTACGTAATCATATGTATAGTGGTGGCGTTCAATTAATTCGTTATGAATTCTCACATAAGAGTTATTCGTACCAAAGTAAACAGCTCAAATGCACATAGTTAAGAGTGTTTTGAATTTTTCAGATAACTTTATGATGATCGCACAAGTTAAAAAATCTGTTCTTAAAGAAAATTAAAGTTCGAAAAAAGAAACAAAAAGTAATACTATTAATACATTCATAGTGATATTACAGAAAAGTTTTATGAAATGATGGGCTTATTAAAAACAGGTTTTCCTCGACAAATGTTTAAGTTTTCGAGGACTCTTACTACTTCTGCATTGGGGTAAGATCGTATTTGTCTTTGTATTTTCTTAAACAACTTACTTAATAAGTTTTTTATTACCAATATATTCAAAAACTCGGACAACAAAGAGTTTCTTAATTTCCTATTGTTAATTCGAATTGTACAACAATTCTTCTAAAATAAAATCTTTCAAACGAATGTAAAAACGGAATATTTAGTCTTCTCCCTCAAATTAATTTTCCAAAACTGCTTCAATTTCTGTTTCAGATGACGATGGCGAAGACAGTATACTAAGATCACTTTAAAAGCACACTAATAAAATTTTATGACATAATTAGCATTATTTGGTTGACAATGCCGAGTCGGCTTTTCGCAGTAGGGTCCTTGTAAACTTGTAAACCCTGTCGCGTGCCTATAGAATGTCCTGTGTTGCCCCAAGCAGACGGTCTTTGGCGGTCGTACCTGCATAATTTATGGTTTTAGAGGTTGGGTTCTTTGACTAAAGTTGTAAAATATTATCTGTATGCTTTTAAAGTGATCTTACTATATTTAGATATTTTTTATTGTTCATGGTTTTATGTTTTTGCTGTTTTTCATGTTATTTGTTGTTTTCATGTTCAACCTCAGTGTTACCAACACATGCTCGGCACACCAAAAAATATTCTTTTTTTGATCATTTCTTCCTTGAAAATAAAAAAATATCGAAACCTTGATAGAAAAATTATAGTAGGTATATAATCACGTTTAATAAGGCCTACGGTTTGTTTTTCCAACTTGACCTCGTGCAGTGACGTTAAAAAACTTGTTTCTTAACATACTCTATTATACTTTGGAACTGCTAATATTGAAATAAGGAGTAAGATGACTAAACTTTGTGCGTAGTGGTTATTTTATATTATTTAAAAAGTCATGCAAATGTTAAATATTTAAATTTTGTCTTGTCTGTTTTGTCGTTCATTTTCACTTTATGGACGCGAATCTGAGAAATGACCTATGGTGTTGGTAGACAAAATAAAATTTAAGTAATATAAGTTAGTATAAGCATGACTTTTCAAATAACGTTGAATACTATGCTTAAAATTAGTATTCATCATTTTACTTCATTTTATATCATTGTCAGCAGTGTCAAAGTATAATAATTAATAATACAATGCAGGTATGTTAAAAAACAAGTTTTACAAATCATTTATAAGGTCAAATCGGGAAAAGGAGTAATAGGTCTTATTAAACCTGTTTTATGTAGTCTATATTTTTCCTATCGAGATTCTATTACTTTTTATTTTCAAGAAAAAAATGATACTACTTAGACCATAGTATTAACTTCTGTCAAATAATGTTTGTTACGTGTCTATTTAAGGCGTGACATAGGGTCAGGTGGAGACGATTGACCCGTCTTTTGAAGAATTATTTTATTATTATTGACAAAACATGAAATTAGCGGATCGATGCTATTAGAGTACTTCCCTAGCTTACATCCAGAAAGTAAAAATTTAACATGACATTAACGAAATATTACCTTATAAACAGAATATGTGTAGGTACTTTAAATTAATATCTGGGAGTAAAACATTTTAAGTGAGTTGTTATAATCACTTTTTTCAGATTATTAGGTTAACACCCTATATTTTAAACTTTAATCGATTGCAGGAAGTATACTCATGGTGGAGGTGCTTTGTTTGAAGAGGAACGCCGATTCTATGAAGTTAATGGCTACATTATAAGAAAAAACAATGTCAGTGATGCTTTATTAGACGAAATTGGGTACTAATTTTTCTGAATCAGAAAATTAATTTCGTATCATAAATATTATTTTAGTAAAAGATTTATTGACATTTGCAATGGTAAAGTTGATGTGAGTATGGGGATGAGACTTGTGAAAGATGCTTCGCTGAGGCAAAAAGGTGTAAAAGGTGTTAATTCAGTGTCTAAGGTAATCATGTTACCCATATTGGAACTTATCTGCTACTGAAAGTAGATTTGCCTGTGGAAGAACAAATAATATTTAAATATTCAAGATTTTCTCAACATTAAGTTTGAGGCAACTAACGGATATTTTTGACTCTATATTTAGCAAAATTTAATTTTTTTCCATTGAAAATTTTGAACACATATAATTTAAGTAAATGATCACGAAATAAATCAATCTTTAAGGCTGGCGTCTGGTTCGGTTTAGCCCTATACTAAATACATTGAAAACATCGTCGCGGTTTCCGGAGTTGCATTTTAAAAATATGAGATATATCGCTTTAAAAAAATTATATTTCGAATTAACAAACTTCAGTCCAGGGGACCTCCATATTTATATTCATATCTAGTATGCAGTTTTTACAAAAAAAAATTATAAAGTTGAACAACTTTTACATCACATTTTAACCGGCACATTGATGGATTTTTTGACGAAGTGCTGAAGTTTTTTGCATTCTGAGATAGGAGGTCCCCTGGGGAAAAGTGTCAGCTTTCTTTTGATACCATTTATAATATTAAAAAATCCACGACTGAGGTAAATAACTCGCGAAAAGTCAAAATCTATTGAAACGAGAAATCGGCATTAAACGAGCTGTGATGCGGTAGCAGAATGCAGGTTTACTTAGATTCTGACTTGGTTGGAGATTTCAGTATTTTAAAAATGCAATTCTGGAAACTACGACGATGTTTTCAATGTATTTGGTATTGGGCGAAACCGAACCAGACGCCATCCTTAAGTAATTTTTAGGTACAAGATTGTCTACATGATGATGTCAGTGATCCTGCTATAACGGATGCTGTTACTAGTATTATAGGACCTAATATCACTGCGATACATTGCATGGTTATAAATAAACCACCGGATTCAAATCCTAATTCTTCAATGCATCCACTACATCAAGTAATTTTTTTACTTTATTACTTAAAAATTCGACTGCGAAGTATTTTAGGATCTTCACGCTTTTCCATTTAGGCCCCCGGAACGAATTGTAGTCTCATGGACGGCATTGGAAAAAGTTGATAAAAACAATGGCGGTCTTTATGTGGTACCAGGAACACAGACTCTGGAACTGCAACCACATGTTTATTTTGAGGTAAAAATACTTATAAATGAATTGCTAACTGCAGAAAGGGGACATGTCCCATTTTTTACCACAATAACATTCGTACATAATCGTGTTCTAGAGGTCTAAACACATCTTTACTGCAAAAACGGGCCATGTTTAATGATTTAGCTCGGGGCTACAAGCGGATGAAATTTACGGTTACAGCAGAAAAGGGATATGTCCAGGAGATATCGACTTTCTGCAGTAAACACCGTGGTCTCAACGTCTTGCGTTATTCTTATCCAACACGACACTCAAAAACATGTCTTACATGATAATTTCTTGTAGAGAAGTAAGAATTTTGCAATTAAGCTACGCCCTCTTGGCTCACGACGAATAAAAAAATCATCACAATTGAGATAGGGTGGGTGGGCGGGGCTTATATTTTGCCCTTTTTTCTTAATCTCCGCAGTCATCTTTTCACAACAAAAATTTAAAACATGTTTAAAGTGGTAAATTTTTGTAGGGAAATATAGATTTTTCAGTGACGCTTCACTCCTCGGCCTGGAAACGAATGAAAAATTCATCATTAAACTAAGCCCCACCCACACCTGCCGCGAACTCAATAGTGGAGAAATTTTCATTCGTTGCCAGACTGGGGGGCGGAGCATAATTGCAAAATTTGTAGTTCCCTACAAAAATTTACCATTTTAAACATGTTTTAAATTTTTGCTGTGAGAAGATGACTACGTATATCAAGTGCAAAATTAGTATAAGCCCCGCCCACGCACCCTATCTCGATTGTGATGATTTTTATATTCGTCGTGAGCCAAGAGGGCGGAGCTTAACTGCAAAATTCTATTTTTTTTAATTATTATTCTTATCCAACACGACGCTCAAAAACATGTCTTACATAGTAATTTCTTGTAAAGAAATAAGAATTTTGCAATTAAGCTACGCCCTTGGCTCACGACGAATAAAAAAAATCATCACAATTGAGATAGGGTGGGTGGGCGGGGCTTATATTTTGCCAATTTTTCTTAATCTCCGCAGCCATCTTTTCACAACAAAAATTTAAAACATGTTTGAAATGGTAAATTTTTGTAGGGAAATATAGATTTTTCAGTGACGCTTCACTCTTCGGCCTGGAAATGAATGAAAAATTCATCATTAAACTAGGCCCCACCCACACCTGCCGCGAACTCAATAGTGGTGAAATTTTCATTTGTTGCCAGACTGGGGGGCGGAGCAGAATTGCAAAATTCGTAGTTCCTACAAAAATTTACCGTTTTAAACATGTTTTAAATTTTTGTTGTGAGAAGATGACTACGTGTATTAAGTGCAAAATTAGTATAGTAACTAGCCATCAGCCAGAAGAAAATGACGGAGATAACAAACACTTTACGATTTACCCCAGACGCTTATAACGCATTTTGGTAGGAGATTGCTACTTGGCCAACTGTAGAACAGGAGCGCGATAATGATTAAGTTTTTTAGTCAGATATACATATAACATGTTTGTGTAAAATTATAACTGAAATAAAGCTGTTTTTTGTGTTTTTTTTTTACCTTTTTTTTCATTTTACTGCAAAAAGGGGATATGTCCAAGTGTCAAATTTGACAGCCAAATTGACCCAAAAAAGAAAACATGCATTTAACCAACACTCGTTGATAACTGAGAACATAGAGAACCGACAATTGAAAACGGGGATCGGAAACAAGTAGTTGTAAAAATCTGAGACGTTTTATTCATTTCCTCAACATTTTGAAAAATGTGATATATCCCCTTTCTGCAGTTAGCAATTCAAATATGTACATAAATTGTCACAGCGACAAGTTTCCATAAAAATATCTCCATTAAAGTTTCACAAATAATAATAACAATAAAGGTTTTCGGGCTAAGTACACAGGCATTTAAACTAGAAAATGCATCGTATGATATTTTATCCAAGCTCTTAAAGGCGAGAAACATAGTGCTTATTGACTTCGTATTTTTAACAAAATTTAAGCGTCATATAAAACATATGAACAAATATTAACATATATGAAAACAATTGCAGGGAATTGTTATAATACATATTAGAATTTTTTTTAATAGGTTCGACAGATGGCAAGAATTTCAGTGTTTTTTATTTAACATTTGAATTTTGTACTGTTTTAATGGATTTCATTGTTTTTGACAGTGAGATTATTACAAATTACTAATTAACTTTTCTTGACTTTGTGTTTTTCACTCAGCATCATTTTAATTTATTAACAATTACTTTTAAACCTCAGTTCAAAGCAATTCTTTCACATTTCTTGTTACTGCAATGGATTTCAAATGATGAGTAATTTTTTGTTTTTTTCGGAAAGCTTAAGTTTGATTAAATACGTATTGACATTTTTTTGCTGGCATGATAGTTTATAGAAGGATTGTAGTGGAATACATTCAGGTTATTTTTGATAACTTTATTAAGTTATAGGGATATTGAATTTTTGTTTTAGGCCTTTAAAAATACCTTCTATTTTGGTGTAAAAGGTTTTGATCATTTACCAAAAGTCTATTTGGATATGGAGAAGGGAGGTACAGTATTTATCCATCCACTTATTTTACATGGCTCTGGACCTAACATCACCAAAGTATTTTTTATGTAGGTACATAAAGTAATAAATAGTAAACGTTGTTATTTTCAGCGGTTTAGAAAATCAGTATCTTGTCATTATGCGGATTCCAACTGTTATTTTATTGATGTGAAAGGAACGGTGCAAGAAAACATTGGGACTGAAATTATGGATATGATTTTAAAATATGGGTATTCATGCAGTTTTGTAGTACGTAAAATACTTTATACTTAAATTAATTATAGTTTTAATATCTACCATTTTTTAGGAATACTGGAAAAGAAAAAGTCGTTTAATAAAGGGCCCTTCTGGAAACTTTCAAAACTTTGAAAATCGCTTATAGAGTTTTCATGTTTGTATTCTCAAATTTGTATTTAATTACTGAAAATTAATTTAAAATTTTATACCCAGGAGGATTAATGTAAATTGATAGTGTTTTCTTTATTTTATTTACAGAAAAGACTAGAAAGTACTACGGTGGAAGAAATTATATACTAGATACTAGGTACTAAGAAGAATTTAACCCGATTGAAATTAGCTTTACAATGTGTTGGTAGAAGATAGACTGATAGAAAAGTTTGTTGCCCCAAAATTTTTGTTATGGGTGTAACTGTATATAACCCATGGCTCACAGTATTTCTGTGTTTTCATATATAATAATGAGAGAATAAACTATAAAATTCCTTGATCCTTGTTAAAATAATATTAATTCCTATGATCTGAAAGTGTTTTAAATTATAACGGACAATGGAGGATGTTAGAGCCTCTGGCGGGCACCTGTTTCACCCCTCCCCACCCGTAAGGGTGGGAGCCAGAGCTACCCCCACCTTGGAACACAGGGTAGCATTATTTCTTAATTCTTAACTCATTCATACACATTCAATTCACAATTCTCAATTCGTAACTAACATTCAACTATCTCGACCGCACGGTCACATAATATTCTATCCTTATCATTCTTATTTATCCTAACACTTGTCACTAGCAATATACATTTATCTTACTGTTCGCTGGTCTTATTCATTTATACAAACTTCGACATGGTCCTTCGAGCCGGATTAGCGACAGAATAACAGTGGTAGTGATAAGTGTAATTCTCAACATATCATTCATCGGCTGGAATTCAGCAAAGTAGTTATCAAAACATCACCTAGAAATCATCCGCGCAGTGTTCAACTATCGGTGACGACCGCGAGTGCTGTGCAAAATCTTCAAGTATCATTCAACGTCAGCCAAGATAATTCTATCCACGAATCCAGGATTCCAGGTAAGCTTTAATTCTGTTTGGTTGGTGTAATACATTTATTCTCGTACTCAAGATGGTGGTAATCCAAGACAATACTTTTGTTAAATTTTCAATTCTCAGCGAAATAGATTCACATTCTAATTTTATATCAAATGTTGCAAATCATCAAAAAAGAGGCCACTTAAAGCGTCGATATGAAGACGTACAGCGAATTTATTCAGAATCACAAATGCTTGTAGTTCAGCAAAAATCCGAAACAATGGTAGTCCCGAATGACACGAGTAACACGGAAACGATCAAACCTATAATTTATAATATCAGAGACGTGCTAAATTATATTCAAAAAATATCCGAATTATATAATGTTCTCATTGAAAAAACTAATCTATTGTGTACTTTCTCGAATTCATGTAAGATAAACACTAACGTACCAACCACGGATCTGGAAAAAACTTGTCAAAATTTAAAGCCTTTAAAGGTACACAAATTAAAAAATGGAGAACCCATCAAAATTCACAAAACCCATTTCAATGCTCTACGTAAATTGCGGTTCACTATTGGTAAAAAATCCCCTCTTGATTCCGTTATTTCAAAAACTCCTAGTATAATATCAAATCGTTCAAAATTTCCAAATTCAACACTCAATGAAGAGAAAAATCATCTTTTTAATGATTGTTACAACTCCGAAGACGTATGTCAAATTAATTTAGATAAAACTTCTAATGCAGAGTCATCTACCGCACTAGACAAAGTAAAAAGTCCTCCAGTTAATTCGAAAAACTGTAACTCATTGTTAGTCTGTAACCAATTTAAATGTAGATCGCAATATTTATGTAAATCCGTAGACTCGAATATTAAAGACAATACGTCAAACGTAGCAATACTCGACAAGAAAAAACATTCCGAAAATGCCATACCCAAAATAATAAGTCATTTCAGTAAAAACTCACCGGTGCTTCAAAATACCGCGCTGGGGTTGATTCTTAGCGGCAGTTTTGCATATTTAAAAAATAATACGTCCCATCATCACAAAATTAGTTCAGCCCAAATTATTTCTCGGTTCTTGGAAGCTGAAACCGTCAAAACCGGAAGCAGGTCATTAAGCAAAGGGTTTAAAAGCGATCTTTGTGCAACCCCTTTTCAATCCACCACAGGCCATTCACCCCATGGCTATTTCATGGTCAAACACCCCTTTTCGGAAAATCAGCCGCGGTTAGAGAATTTTGCACAAATGCATCCAAAGTGGCTATTATCAGACGAGAGGAAGTTGGGGCGTTCCACAGTCCCTTATTTCGAAAATCTACCTAAATTAGGAAATTCCCGAGAACTGGCTCTCCAACTGTTATTGTTAGCAGAGGGACGTGATCATAAACGTAACGAGGGTTTTATTGTCTCTCAAAGGAAGTACCTAGACCTTGTACACCTGAACGTACTTAACGAAAATTCGTTAAATAATTTCATTTACCTGCAACACAATTGTGTTTTAAATCTTCACATTTCTGCCACTAAACTCTGCGTAGTTGTTGGCCGTTTAAATCTTAGTTCAAAGAGTTTAAATATGAATAGCCGGAACTGCCGGAAGTATAACGAAATTACTGATAAAAACCATCTTGAGGGCGAGGGCGTGTATGCGCTCGCTGTCAGGGTTAAAGCCGTCCTGAATTCGCGCCTTTCGAAGCCTCTGTCCAGCGACCGCAATAATTTGGTCGCATTTATACCTGGCCAATGCCTCTTTCGGCCAGCCATTAACTGGTCCCTCAGGAAAAGACCACGCCGTCGTTCCTATCAACAGGCCATCCCTTGGCACCTCATCCACTCTTACCAGCAACACTTCTGGAAGTCGTGGTACCTCGAATATTTGACCACACTGAAAGGCAGGTTAGGGTGGCAAAGGCCATCTTCCAACGTTCCAGGAATGGCAAGATGGGTCTTCGTGAAGGAGGAGAAATTTCCGCGTCTTAAGTGGCGGTTAGGACGCGGCCCTCCAACATCATTTTGGAAAGGAAGTGGTGCTGTGTGTAGTGTCGGTGAAGTGAAAAAGATAATTTCGCAATCGCATGCATTATAATTATATTTAACCATATTGCATACATCTTGTCAATTTGTTATATACATCTCATTGTTGATTTATTTTACTATGTTCTATGTATTCATATTTGTACCATTGTTATATTCATTCCCATATTATTCACTCATCGTATTATTCATTGATTTGGTACATTATAATTGTTGTAAATTTACTTTTAGGTCTATTGTAACTATTGTGTATTCACTGATATTGTACACATGTAATTTGTTTTAGATATCTTTTTTTAAAGTTTAATGCATTTCTTCAGGCTCATTGCTTTCGGTAACAATGTCCACCCAATTCATGTAATTTCATCTGTATTTATCATTACTAAATCATGTTTTCATTGTATGTTCTATATAGTTTAGTTTTGGTCTTAAAACAATGTAATTGTTTCAAGGCGGGGGGTTATGTTAGAGCCTTTGGCGGGGACCTGTTTCACCCCTCCCCACCCGTAAGGGTGGGAGCCAGAGCTACCCCCACCTTGGAACACAGGGTAGCATTATTTCTTAATTCTTAACTCATTCATACACATTCAATTCACAATTCTCAATTCGTAACTAACATTCAACTATCTCGACCGCACGGTCACATAATATTCTATCCTTATCATTCTTATTTATCCTAACACTTGTCACTAGCAATATACATTTATCTTACTGTTCGCTGGTCTTATTCATTTATACAAACTTCGACAGAGGGTTTACTAATTTTTTAATTTCATTGTTTTTTATAAAAATATTGTAGGAATATTGCATGAATAATTTTAGTAGGCGTACTTACTGTGAATAGTTTTCAGTTCAAATTTTTTGCATATATATATATGTATTGTATTATTAAATCAAAAAACAAATGACAAAAGTGGTGATACGCATTATGTAGGGCTTATCTTTTAGAGCTCTTACTATTTCTTTCATCAAATATTCACATGGTTGTTCGTAAAACATAAGGAAACATTTAAAGAAGGATTTTTTTTTGGAAAATGACGAGGACCGAGTGACAGTGATGCTATGGGTCAAAGAAGAATCTGAGAGCTTTTTGCCCACAAGTAATATCTATTATAGAAAAAGCACATGTTTATTACTAGATAAATGTCAATATTTATGAGTATAATCATATAATCGTACTTTAGACCTGACGCCAATAATTGCTCCTACAAAAAGTGAACTTTATTGTAACCAAAAAGAACGCAGAGTTTGTTGTTGTGTTAAAGTTGTGAAATCAGCTTACAAAATAATTTATTGTCAACACTTTGGCTCTGATGATAATGAAATAAACAATGTACTGATGGTTAATCTTTGCGTAATTGATAGTTTGTACAATTTGAAATGTCATGCTTATTGTTTTAATCTCGTAGTGAGTGCTGTATGGTTCAGTTTCACTGGCAGTTTATCTGTATTCACGAACATACAAACTTAGAAAAATGGACCGTAGTGTTGGTAACAATCATGGGTATGTATTTAAATTCCAGTATAAAGGTGCTCGGTTAATAGAAATAATTTGAAAACATAATTTTTTTAATTATAGGTAAAAGTATTTTTCAAAATTGTTAATAGGTTTTCCTGAATCTTCGGCACATTTTCTGATCATTTTATGAAATATCCTTTCAAATATGTACTTTTAAATTTCACTATGTTTTTGGGTGAAATTTTTCTTGGACAGTATCCAAAAACGTAGGATTCATTTCACAACTATAAATATACCGATATCCCACATTTTGTTTTATAGCCAATAATGTTCTTATTAAAGTCAAGCTAGGTCATTACTAAATTAGAGTCAAAAATGTTCACATTATAAATATTCACCGAAACAAGAATTTTAGTTCTAATAATTAAAGAAATACAAAGGGCGTTACTGTGTGATTACATGTTTTTTTTTAGTTATCAGCCCATAATATTTAATGATTACTTATTTATCTTTATTTATTTATTTGATAAACTTGTTATTTTTATCACCAATCTGTCCTCTCAATCTTGTGGTCACTAGTGAAAAGTTTGTTTTTGTAATTTTTTGAATACTTGTACTCTGAACTGATCAAGTATTATAACAACATTAATAACCTAAACTCTCGCTAAAAATCTTCGCTCATGCGCATTAACTCAAGCCACTGAATAACTTACAGACCATGACCTATGCCGTTCGCAAGGTGAACAAGAAGTTCCTGAAGAGAAAATGTTTTTCTTGATATTTTCCCATTGAGATGAAGATTTTGCGAGAATTTTACTTACCATAATTTATTATTCATTTTTGTATATACAAATTTTGTTTTATTTTATTTTATTGTATAAACCATCACCGGTTAGAATGTAGTCTAACACAGGAATAATGATATATATGCAGTTTTAAAATCTATGTCAAAAACAGAACAAAATAAGAAACGTGGAAACTAGGATAGAATGACGTGAATGCGATCTGCTAATAAAACAACGTTTTTGGAATCTTTAGCTGGAGCAAAGGTTGCCTGATAAGAAAACATAAATAACGTGCGATTAACAAAATTGCCCTCTAATCGGCCCTGCATTTTAAACAGTTTTTTCATTTCCTGTTTTGAGCAGTGGACAATGAGAAATATAGTTTCCTCGTTCATATTATAAATTAAGCTTAAGCGTATATAGATACTAAATTAAGCTTCTTCCTTCAACCTAAAAACAATGACGTTTACAGTATTTCAGTATTTCTATCCGTTCTCACCTATGTATAGTTTTTGGAAAAGATAGCATTTAAAAACAAAAATTTGTTCTAAATTCGATTTTTACTTACATATCTATATTTCTACCAATAATGTAGAATATAGGCTCTTAGATAGAATTTAGGATACTTTATACAAAATTGATAATGAGTATCACTTTTTAAGTGAGTTGTGAATAATAAAATTACATTTCTATTTTCATGATAAATATTTACCCCAGGTTCAAGTACACTGTTGGTGGAGGTGTTCTTTCCGAAGAGCAACGCCGATTCTATGAGGTTAATGGATACGTCGTAATAAAAAATAACGTCAGTGAAGCTCTCATAGACGAAGTTAGGTATTTACTTTACTGAAGCATAAAGTTAATTCTTTATTATAAATATTATTGTAGTAACAGGCTTGTGGAAATTTGCGATGGCAAAGTTAAAGGGGGTTTAATGAGAATCGTGAAAGATCCTTCATTGAAGCAAAAAGGTGTACAAGGCATTAATTCAGTACATAAGGTATTTTGCTCCAAAAATAAATTTGCTTGTAGAAGAATAAAAAAAAAGCAATTCATGTGTATATCTGTTTCATTAAGCAAATTGTACTACTTTGTCGTTATTAAAACAGACATTTTAGTGTCATATTCTTTTGCCAAATTAATTTATTTTGTCCAAGGTTATTGAACCAAAAGGATTTTAGCAATTCATTGCAAACAAATTTATTTAATTTTATCAAGAAAAATACAGATGTGATAGTGACATAATTAACTTTGAGCTAACTTTGAAATAAGTGAGTATGTAATTTTTAGGTTCAAGATTTCCTTTATGATGATATTCTTTTTAAATATGCCAGTGATCCTGCAGTAACGGCTGTTGTTACTAGTATTATAGGACCTAATATTACTGGAACACATTCTATGCTTTTAAATAAACCTCCAGATGCCGATCCTGGTTCTTCATTGCATCCGGTGCATCAAGTAATTTTTTATATTTTAACACTCAAAAATTTGGCAGCTGAGTATTTTAGGATCTTCACGCTTTTCCATTTAGGCCCGCGGACCGAATTGTAGCCTCATGGACTGCAATGGAAAAAATTGATAGGAGCAATGGAGGTCTTTATGTCGTACCTGGATCACACAATCTGGAACTGCAACTGCATGATTATTTTGAGGTAAAAAAATATGTATATACATTAGGGTGATTAAAAAAAAAAATAATTTTTTTTTTCGTGTCAAAGAGGCTCAAAAGTTTCTTTTCAACGTAAAAAAATACCAGTTAAAAGTTGAGCTCTTAATATTAATATTAAGACCGTCCGCATCGCGTTTTTCTATTTCCCATAAGAATAACATGGGAAAATTTTTGTTTGCACCTTCTGATTTTTATTGCTAGCCCGTCGTGTGTCGTGAAAAAAATTCAATCACATATTTTTATAGAGAATTGAACGCTCTACAAAAAGTGTCTCCTATGATTTTGCGAGAAACCGGACTATGATTTTTTAACCCACTGATGCTGAAAATGTTCGGAAAGAGTTTTACTGGCCTTATTATAGCATAAAATTATAAACAATTACTGTTTAAAAAACTAAATTTAAAATGTGTATACATTTTTGTGGTGATTTATTCCAATAAGACCATCAAATTTATTGTAATGCATCAAAAACGTCAAAATTTGGATAAATTTAACTTTAGCCTAAAATAACTCTTCAACTATCAGGTTTCTCGCACAATCATAGGAGACACTTTTTGTAGAGCGTTCAATTCTCTATAAAAATATGTGATTGAATTTTTTTCACGACACACGACGGGCTAGCAATAAAAATCAGAAGGTGCAAACAAAAATTTTCCCATGTTATTCTTATGGGAAATAGAAAAACGCGATGCGGACGGTCTTAATATTAATATTAAGAGCTCAAATTTTAACTGGTATTTTTTTACGTTGAAAAGAAACTTTTGAACCTCTTTGCACGAAAAAAAAAATAATTTTTTTTTTTTTGAATCACCCTAATATAATAAGCATTCACGTTCGGTAGAAGTAACTGACAGAAACTTTTCTATGGTTAAGTTGCAATCTTAAGATCACTAGAAATTTAAGATTGGCATCAACTGTCTAATTTTCTAATTCAAATGTCAAATCTGAATTGTGTGGAAAAAAACCGAAGTTTTTCTAATTTCAACACGCTTCGTTTCAAGAAAATCCTTAAATACAGCATGGAAACAATTTCCATAAAAGTAATCACGAGAAAGCTCATTTTAAAGGAAAAGAAACAAGAAATATTTCGTGGTTTTCAAAAAATTGGGTAAAACGGAAACAGTTAAACTGGTGGCAGAAATATTCTCCGTAAAGTTCGCTAGTGTTGTCGAGTGTTTTTCGAATTTTAAAATAATACAGATACAGCGGCGCTTGTGCCGTTAATATTATAATCAGAATCAGAAAGACGCCTGCGCAGATTTATATACCTACATGCTTTGTTGGTTCCGTTCTACAATTGGTTTTTAAGTTTTATATAATCGTTATTGTTTTGTAAGAGGTAAAACACTCGGCTTTGAAAATAATTGTACGTAATACACGTATAAATTTAGGTTTCCGAAGGCGAAGTTTTTCACATTTTAAACACGTTATAGCTGCCAGAATCAAATTTCTAAGGCGGTACCTATCTCCAATTGCGTGATTGTGGTGAAGATTTACTTTTCATTTTCTTGGATGAGACATGGATATACCAGAACGGATCCATGGTGAAATTGTGGATCCATGATGATGACATCAAAGCTTGTCCTCCTAAAAAAACTAGTGAAGGGAAAAGATTCAAAATTTTACATGCGGGTTGCTCTTTGGGCTTTTAGAGGGATGCGATTTTCTCCTTGGTTCAAAAATAGATTCACCAGATTACCACAAAACCATCACATTTTCGATATTTGACCTTTACTTACTTACATGTCACATTTTTGATACCTACTTTCTGACATTCCAGTAATACATTATACACTAGAACAATTATGTCCGCAATTACACAGCTTAAAAAAAAAAGTTACCAAATCTAGTTACATCTACCGAACGTGAATTCCTTATACATACATGTTACAGTGAAAAGTTTAGATGGTCCTTATTTCAAGTCTAGGAACGGTTTTTTATTTTTATTTTGTAGAAAAATTTGTTTGTGTATTACTAAAAAAGTTTCGCTTTTGGTGAAATATTCATAACAAAATTACAAAAGCATTATCTGTGCATATTATGAAAAAAATATTTATTGTAGTGGAATATACTGAGCTGTTCTTGTTTGTTTCAGGATTTCAAAAATACTTTATATTTTGGGGTAAAAGGCTTTGATCACTTACCTAAAGCCTATTTGGAAATGGAGAAGGGGGACACCGTATTTTTCCATCCACTTATTTTACATGGCTCTGGACCTAACTTCACAAAAGTACTTTCTTGTGTAAACATATATTGAAGTGATAAGTAGTAAACGATGTTATTTTCAGCGATTTAGAAAAGCAATATCTTGTCATTATGCTGATTCCAATTGTTCATTTTTTGATGTAAAAGGAACAGTGCAAGAAAACGTTGCGGTTGAAATCATGGATCTTCTTTCAAAATTTGGATATTCAGGCAATTTTATTGTATGTGAGATATTACTTGAGTTAATAGTAGTTTTAATGTCAATTTGTTTTAGGGATACTGGAAAATGAAAAGTCGTTTAATCAAGGGACCTCCTGGAAACTTTCAAAATTTTGATAGCCATTTATAGAGTTTGTGATATATTCTCTCTTTTTTCCTCACATTAATTAAAACTAAATGTTTAGAACTTTGTACTGAGGTAGATATAGTGTAAACTTGTAGTGCTTTCTTTTTTTTTACAGGAAGTACCACAAAATAGTATGCCACAAGTAGCTGTGACTATATATATCGGTAGCAATAAGAATTTTCTAATCTGATTGAAATTAATTTCACAGTGTGATCTATTTGTGAAAACAACAAAAATAGTCAGAAGGACGTTGTAAAAGGAACCAGAAATGTTATATATCCTTCAGGGTGTTTACTGTTTAAACTAGTACAGTAGAATTGAGTTTTAGGATTTGTGCGTAAACCATTGTTTTTCCTTGCAAATTATAGGAATTACGAATGCTATTGTTGTCTATTTTACGAATACAATAACCAATTTGTGGTAGTGAGTAACACTGTGTTAATGGTATAACATTAAAAAAAAATCAAAATAAAATAAAAACATTGAATTACTCTCTCTACTAACTACTGGACTAATACATATATGTTAATATAGTGATAAATGAAGAACATACAACGGCTGTGGGTTAATTTTCTTTTGGTGCATGGAACTCGTAAACACTGTGGAAAATTCTTGTAAGAACGAATTATAAAGTATGATTTAAAAGTTGAAAGGACAGTGATTCACTTCAGATTAAGTGATATTCTTTTTTGGTCTAATTTTTTTCAATCTGGTTATATCATCTACAAATTGTGATTTTTGTTCCTGGTTTTTGGTGAGTTATTTTCATTATTATTTATTCGTCAAAAATACAGACTAGTGTCTTTTTGGCTTTCTCAAATTTGAGGCAAATTTGATTTTTAAATTTATATTACCGGTGTTATTCCTTCATTTCTTGTCTACTGATAAGTCGTTCTTTTTTTGTGGTGAGAAGTACGAGATCGTGCTTCGATTTTTAAAGTGTACTTGTCCATATTTGGAACAAAGTGTGAGTTTAGCACCTGATAGTACCATCAGAGAATACCAGAATGGTATTTTTATCAAAATTAGTACCCATATCATCAGAAGAACACCACTGAAAAATATTACCCAAAGCCAAATCCCTTTGTAATAACATGCAATCATCTAAATTCTTAATCGCTTTGCACACCGTTGAATCATCCGCGAAAAGAAGTAATTCTGAAAATTTAACGGCATCGAAAATATAATTGATAAAAATAAGAATAAAAGTGGACCACAATACCAGCCTTGTGGGACACCTGGACAAACTATAACCGGATCAGAGATAAAATTCTCTATTTTGATGAACTGTTTCCTATCACTAATAAAGCTTTTAATCCATCGAAGAAACCTGGTACCAAAATTTATCATCTTTAATTTATGTAACAAAATATTATGATTAACTCTATCGAATGCTTTGGAGAAATCTTCATAGATGGAGTCAACCTGAAGTCCTTTATCCAAAGCATTGACAATGTAATCCTGATAAAATATTAGTGGATCGTCCTTGACAAAATCGGTGTTGCCGACTATGAATAAAATGCTTGCACGATAATTTTAGCTGGTTAGATATAAGTTTGTCTAAAAGCTTGGGAATAACCGACTGAGTACATACCCCTCTATAGTTTGTAACGAGTTCTCAGTTTCCAGATTTAAAAATAGGGACTAAAAAACTTTCTTTCCAGATATTCGGAACCACACCAGAAGAAAAGAATAAATTATGCAAAAGGTGTATGTATGGGTTAGGTACAAGAAACCAGAAATCTTGTTGAAATTTCATCAGTATAAGTTAATTGATTATTACTATGGATTTAAATATTATCGACTAGAGGTTTTAATAGTGTGAAATACTTAGTTACGTAATCATTATGTATAGTGGTGGTGTTTATCCATTAATCTGTTATGAACTCTCATATAAGAGTTGTTCTTACCAGTGTAAACAGCTCAAATGCACATAATTAAACAGTTTTTTAATTTTTCAGATAACTTTATGGTTACTACACAAGTTAAAAAATCTGTTCTTAAAGGAAATTAAAATTAGGAAAAAGAAACAAAAAGTAATTATTCACTTAGTAATATTACAGAAAAATTTTACGAAATGATGGGCTTTTTGCGGACTATTACTACTTCCACATTGGGGTAAGATTGTACTTGTAGTCTTTGTATTTTCTTAAACAACTTACTAATTTAATAACTTTCTTATTAGTATTACCAATACATTCAAAAACTTGGGAGTTTCTTAATTTCTTATCGTTAATTCGAACTCTATTATAACTTTTAGACGTCAGCTGAGATGGTGAAGAGAGCACATACTTTTTACTGTTAATGGTTTTCATGTTTTTGTTGTTTTTTTAATATTATTTGCTGTTTTCATGTACAACCTTCTTGTTACTAACCCATGCTGGGAACAGCAAAAAATATTCTTTTTTTTTATCATTTCTTCCTTGAAAATAAAAAAAATTGAAACCTCGATGGAAAAATTATAGTAGGTGCATAAATCACATTTAATAAGGCATACAGTTTGTTTTTCCAATTTGACCTCGTACAGTGACTTTAAAAAACATACTGTATTAGACTTTGTAACGGTAAGTTTGTAAACATTTTATGCGTAGTGGTTGTTTTATTTCATTTGAAAAGTCATCCAAATATTATCTAAATTTTGTCTTGCTCATCCCTCCTAAAAAATTGATGACGTCACCTCAAAATATTGCTGAATAAATCCTATCTTAAATGTGTAAAATATGATGAGTCTCTACTTGTGATTTACCACTGCATTAATATTTTTTAAATTTGCTTGAACAGGTGTCTTGAAAACATTAATGACTGAGTTAATTTATTTTATTGATTAAATCAAGAATTGCGAAACTGATTACTTTGATATCTTACACACGTTTTGAAGTTGTTGTAAGAACAGTAACTTTTTAATTAAAATGTATGTGTTTATCAACCTCAAAAAATTTTGTCGGAAAGATAGACAGACGGAAACGGGAGACCTATTTCTTCGTAATTTAGGGGTCATGAAAGGTCGAGAAAGAATAAGTAGTAGAGAGTATTAACTTCTGGCAAATAATGTTTATTACTTGTCTAATTACGAATAAACATCTGCACAGACGCAAAGTAATGTCAGATGGAAACGATTGGCACATCTTTTGAAGAATTATTTTTTATTACTGAGAAAACATGAAATCAGCGGATTGATTCTGTTACAGTCCTTCCTTAGCTTACACTCGTGAAATAAAAATTTAACATGACATTAAACGAAATATTGCCTTATAAACAGATTGTGTTAATATCTAGGAGTAAAACATTTTAAGCAAGTTGTTATAATCACTTTTTGCAGATGATTAAGTTAACACCCTATATTTTAAACTTTAATCGATTGCAGGAAGTATACTCATGGTGGAGGTGCTTTGTCTGAAGAGGAACACCGATTCTATGAAGTTAATGGATACATTATAAGAAAAAACAATGTCAGTGATGCTTTATTAGACGAAATTGGGTACCAATTTTTCTGAATCAGAAAATTAATTTCGTATCATAAATATTATTTTAGTACAAGATTTGTTGACATTTGCAATGGTAAAATTGATGTGGGTATGGAGATCAGACTTGTGAAAGATGCTTCGCTGAAGCAAAAAGTTGTAAAAGGCGTTAATTCAGTGCGTAAGGTGATCATGTTCCCCATATTTGAACTTATCTGCTAATGAAAGTAGCGAGTGTTCAAATATTTATGCTTGTTTCTTAAATCAGTGTGTTTATGTAAGACTTTCTCAACATTAATTAAATTTGCACCAACTAAAACATATTTTTGATACTATATTTCGCAGAATTTAATTTTTTTCGATTGAAATTTTTTGTGTATAGGTATATAATTCAAGTAACTGATCATGAAATAAATCAATCTTTAAGTAATTTTTAGGTACAAGATTGTCTGCATGATGATATTTTTTCTAAATATGTTAGCGATCCTGCTGTAACGGATATTGTTACTAGTATTATAGGGCCTAATATCACTGCAATACATTGCATGCTTCTAAATAAACCACTCGATGCAAATCCTAATTCTTCAATGGATCCACTACATCAAGTAAATTTTTATAATTTATTACACAAAAATTCGACTGTGCAGTATTTTAGGATCTCCATGGTTTTCCATTCAGGCCCCCGGAACGAATTGTAGCCTCATGGACGGCATTGGAAAATGTTGATAAAGACAATGGAGGTCTTTATATGGTACCGGGAACACACACTTTAGAACTGCAACCACATGATTATTTTGAGGTAAAAATATTTATAAATAATAGTTATTTATGTATTAAGGGCATAATCAGGGAGATTATGGCACGAGGGAATGTTTAAAGCCCGACGAAGGAGAGCTTTTAATTTCCCGAGTGCCACAATCGACAATTATGCACGTGGTACATAACAACGTTTTATTCTATTTTAGATTCTAAACTATTTTTAACGAAATATTGAGTATTTTCGGCAAGACTGTGTGAATTGTGCCGATGCGAATTTTAATACATAGCTGGCTATTATTTTGATGTTGTTATGGATACCACGTTGATTATTTGATAATTCGTTTTTCAAAATGTAAATTAAAGAAGCGGAAAACGTTTATTCAAACGAAAGTTTAGAAGAATTTGAAGTCGGTCAGGTAATGATTTGATAAAATATTGTTTTTCCAACTTAAGAAAAACGTTGAATATCGAAGCGTGTTTGAATAATTGATTAGTGTAAATGAACAATCAATTGTTGCTTAACAATTTTTGACAGATTTGTGCTAAAAAGGCCAATTTAAGCCCGCATTTGGGTGCTTATAAATAAGATTATGGTTCTAAAATAGAATAAATGTATATAAATTGTATCACAGTGACAAGTTTGTATAAAACGTACTGTTACGTTGAGCACCATGGCTTGATTTGTTTAAGTTTCCTTTATTTAATAAAATGTAAAAAGGACTAACTATTATAACGATTTATGTACAGAATAACTTCGTGGTTCACTTGTATGAATTCGCTCACTCGTTGAGCTCGGCTTCTTGACTGTATAATCGTTCCCGACGGTGGCATCTATTTAAATCCCTGCATTTCTATAGATGGATCGCAAACGCCGTTTCTAGGTTTTTTCTAGACCCCACAATCGAGACTTCCCGGTAGACGACTCCAGACTTGTCTTTATGCGAACGCCGCGTTCGCGTTCGATGAGTGATCACCGGCGTACGACCAGAAAGTTCTCGACGGCCCATAGACGTCGTACTGGGGGGGTGGGGGGGGGGGGGCGTATGAGTTTATTTCGTAACAATATATAACTAAACGTATTTTTTATTTAATATTTCAATTGTGTACTGTTTTAATTGATTTTATTGTTTTTAACAGTGAGATTATGACAAATTACTAATTAATGTTTCTTGAATTTGTGTCTTTCATTCAGTCCATTTTTTGTTAATATCTTTTTGAAGCATCATTGTAATTTAACATTTACTTTTAAACCTCCATTACAAAGCAATTCTTTCACAGTTCTTATACATATTACTTTAATGGATGTCGACTGATGAGTAATTTTTTGCTTTTTTCGGTAAACTTAATTATGGTAAAATATTGATATTTTTTTTGCTGGCAGGCTAGTTTATATTATGAAAGACGGATTGTAGTGGAATACACTCAAGTTATTTTTGTAACATCATTAAATTATAAAGATATTGAATTTTTGTTTTCGGCTTTTAAAAGTACCTTATATTTTGGTGTAAAAGGTTTTGACCATTTACCAAAAGTCTATTTGGATATGGAGAAGGGAGATACAGTATTTTTCCATCCACTTATTTTACACGGCTCTGGACCTAATATCACCAAAGTATTTTGTGTGTGTATATGAAGTAATAAATAGTATCCGTTATTTTCAGTGGTTAAGAAAATCAGTATCTTGTCATTATGCTGATTCTAACTGTTTGATGTGAAAGGAACGGTGCAAGAAAACGTTGGGACTGAAGTTGTGGATGTTATTTCAAAATATGGGTATTCATGCAGTTTTGTAGTACATAACATAATTATTACTTAAATTAATTGTAATTTTCATATCTACCATATTTTAGGAATACTGGAAAAGAAAAAGTCGTTTAATAAAGGGCCCTCCTGGAAACTTCCAAAGGTTTGAAAATCACTTATAGAGTTTTCATGTTTGTATTCTCTAATTTGTATTTAATTACTGAAAATTAATGTAAAATTTTTTATCCAGGAGGATACATGTAAATTGATTATTTTTTTTACAGAAAAGACCAGAATGTACTACGGTGGAAGAAATTATACTAGACGTTATATGGGTAATAAGAAGAATTTAACCCTATTGAAATTAGCTTTACAGAATGGAATATGTTGGATAATGCAGCAAATACAAAAAAATATTTTAAAAATTAGTTAACAATGGTTGAAATACTCTACGAACTAATACTAAACTAAAATGTGTTACTAGAACTTGATAAATAAAGTTTGTTGCTTCAATATTTTGTTATCGGTGTATATAACCAACATGGCGCACAGTATCTGTATTTTCATATATAATAATGAGATAATAAAGTATAAAATCCCTTGATCCTTGTTAAAATAATATTAATTCCCATGATCTTAAAGTGTTTTAAATTGTAACGGGCAACAGAAGGTTTAATAATTTTTTAATTTCATTGTTTTTTATAAAAATATTGTAGGAATATTGCGTGAATAATTTTAATAGGCGTACGCACTGTGAATAGTTTTCAGTTCAAATTTTTTGGATACATATATCATTAAATCAATAAACAAATGACAAAAGTGGTGATACGCATTATGTAGGGCTTATCTTTTATAGCTAATTAGCTTTTCGCCCGCGGCTTCGCTCGCGTAGACGATTCGTTGTGTTGAAGAGCTTTATTATCAGCCTTCAAGTAAAAAATGTGTTGAAGGACATTAATACAATTCCAGTAAAAATCAACATAAAAAATGTTTGCTCATAAAAACTTTGTCACCCCCTTTCATCTTCTTAGGGGTGGAATCTCGAAACAATCTGAAAAACGTGTTTCATTATTTGTGTTGATGAGTATTAATACCAAGTTCCCCGTAAAAATTTAAATTTACGGTAGAAATATTTTTCCATACAAACTTCGCCACCACTTTGTACTCCCTTGGGGGTTGAATCTTGGAAAATGCTTAAATACGGGTTTCATTCTTTGTATTGACGAGCATTAATTTAATATCAAGTTTCACGCAAAATTTTAAATTTACCATAGAAATACCTTACTATCTTGTATAAGAACGAATTATAAGGTATTGCAAGATCATCAGGTCGGTTCGCCGGAAGGTGAAGATAAATAAATTAAAAAAAAGTAATATTTGTATAAACTGACACTTTACTGCTCCTTTGAAAAACAATAGAAAATAAGCCATCATATTTTTAATTGGGCAAACTTATCTTCAGCATTTACGCTTCGTTTTTTTATTTTCTTCCGGTTTTTAGTAACCAGTTGCAATTTTGAAACATTTTGAGGTGTTGGTACTAGAAAATACATGATAATTTAAAGTATTTTGCTATTTCTGCATCCTTACGTGTTTTCCATGGAATGTAAACAGCATTTTTCTCGTCGAAAATTTCTGCATTGTCTTCACTTAGTTTTTTATTTTGTTTCAAAACACTGATTGAGACAGCTTTTTGTATAGCTGAGGGGTAATTTTTTGGTAGATCTATAACATGTGGAATTAGTGATTTTTTTCTTAATTATTGATGTTGATTACCAGGAATTTTATCCGCTAAGTTGATATTTTTATGCAGTCTATGCGCTATTCTCTCCCCGTGTAATCGTTTCAAAAAATTTCTCGTATGATCAGAAATGTTTTTTTGGTCCAGAATTTCTAAAATAACACATCATTTTTTTTAGTGAGGGATTATGCTTACCTAAACAATAAGCTGCGGCGATTAAGTCTTCTTTGTATAAACGATTTTTACAGATAGGATTATGAGCCAAAGAGAGATCTTTAAGATAAAACCATTCTCTTATTGTTTCACAAAGCTCATCAATGTTGCTGAGGTCATTGTGGGAAGCATTAAATACCCTTATTGATCTTAGTGGCGCTAAAGATGATATTGTCTGTATTTTATTATAAGATATATTTAATACTTGAAGAGATTGCTATATAGATAAAGTTAAAGAAAATATGTGTATATTTTCAATTATTTTATACTTACGGAAATTGCATAAATACTTCTAGGGTCAAAACACAAAGCATTTCCTTCGCATAAATATTGCTTTTCCAAATGCAATTCTTCGAGATGCTGCAAATTTTGTAAACCCTCTACTACGCTAATTGTATTGTGGCCTAAATACAATTTTTTTAGCTTTTGTAAATTATTTAAGTTTTCTATCTTAAGTATCCTATTTTTTTGTAAATATAAACTGGTTAAGTTATGGGCGCCGCCTAAATTTGCTATTTCATCGATTTCATTGTTATGAAAATAAGCCACAATTAGGTCTTGAGGATTTGATAATCGAGGCTACAAGAGGCTCTATAATGAAAGAACGTATCTAATTTATCAGCAAGTACTTACGATTTTTTTCAGGTATCTGTCATTCAGGTATATGTGAGTAACTTTTTTGTCTTTAAATTTTTGCACCAAATTTCTGGAAGATTTGACTTCAACTTTATCGTTCATACTTTCTCATTTTATCTCAACAAATTTCTAAAATAATAAACCTGTCAAAATAATAGTGTTACTTAGCAACCTTATTTCCATTCAAACATATGCACAGGGATCTTTCAATCGATAGTTTCAGTGTTTTCTATCTCTGCTTCACAATGTTATACGCTAAATATTAGTATATTAAGTATTAAGAACGGTAAGGGGTGTTTACTGGTCGAAGACAAAAGTTTGAAGACGGAGCGAAGCGACGTCTCCAATTTGTCTGAGACCAGTAAACCCCCTTAACGTTCGTGATGCTTATACTATTTTTTGTACGACCATCAAAAGATTTGCATCTTTTTATCAAATCCATAAATTGAAAGAATTTATATCGAACATCAACAAGGTCGTTTTTATAATTTAAAATTTGTTACTATGGTTTCGTTTAATATTAACAACAATTTTAAAAATCAATTTCCATTTTGACCTCTGTCGATTTAGATTTGATCTGGCTCTATTTGGAGTCAATTTTCCATCCGCGACTATTAGTGAGTGGTTTATTTGCTTAAAATATCAATCACGAGTAACTCTGAAAGCGAAAATATCGAAGTCGAACAAGCATGGAATTTAAAATAAAAAAAATCTTGAATGCATGATTACTTACCGTTCAGCTGAACAGTAAGTAATTTTCTTACCGTTCGCCTCTTGGTTGTTAGTCATAGCAACCCGTAAACTGAACTTACTGCTATGGAAACGTGTACGGTAAATGATCGAAAAAGTGATGGTCGTACAAAAATGTATTTTAGGTTATTTCATATAGGTCACTCTTTATTCTAAGCTTATGTATTTTTATTTTTGTCATTTTTGACACTACAGGCGTGCTAATACTAGATGCGACGTGACAAATCTTTTACTTAGTTAAGGGTGTTAAAAAAATAATTTCGCCAATTACAGTTTAATGAATATATTTTTTTAAATTGTAGGTATTTATTTTAATATTTTTTATTGATTAATTTTTAAACCAAGAACAGTCATCCCGTCCAGTATCTTGTTGTTATTATTATAAAAAATTTGAGTTTGGCAACCATACTTTATTTTAAACATCATTTTTTGTAAAACATGTCAAATAATTTCTTTCTGATGCAACTCCTACATATTTTTTTTATTCCGACAGGACAATAAAACCACGATCAAAGGCAGCCACGGATTTTTAATCATTGTATTTTCAATCTGAGTCTTCAATTTCTTAACGGTAATCTAAGAAATAAAGTTCATTATATAGTGTATCCAAAGCTCTGGGTGTCTACGTGCATCATACACGTCTGGAAGCTCTTACAACAGAATGTGAATTTTTTAAATTAAAAACATGTATTTAAGTCAAAAGCGCTTTATTGTTAACACACAGTAGTCTACCTGTACAAATTAGGTTTTCATATACATACTTATTTAACAATGTGAATTTTACACTGGACCGATTAGTATCTACTTTATTGCAAATGTAAAATAGGCAAGGGAAAAAGTCTAACGATCACACTGTATATGATTGCTCGTCTAGTGTCAGCTACTCTACAATGATATGAAGACAGTGCGTTTGTGTGTAAAGGCACGTTTACACCACCTCCAACTTCAATCCTTGTTATTTAGAAAGTGGAAACGTTCCCTAATGCTTCGTTAACTCTTTCCCACGCGCAGATCAAAAAGAAATGAAAAGATACAAAAAGCTCATCCTTATTCTTAATCAAGACTATCTACAATCCTAACACAAATCCTTAGAGACCTGCCGGAGCCGTGTTAGAGGCTCGGATGCAGATATGACACACAACTATTATTAATAGGGGCTTTGTGTGAAGAGACGACGACACGAATCACCAAAAACACCTAAATTAGGCCTTCTCTTCAGACAGATTCGTATCGTTTGTTTCTTACTATTGTTCCCTTAATAGCTCCAAGTAGTCAGCCTTATTTTTAATTTCAGAAATCACACATTAATTAGTACACATTAATGTCATCGGTGAAGTAGAAATTGTTTTTAGGCTCGCTTCCACTTCTGTTTATTGACTTTAAACCTCACATTCTCCCACGTTGTGTCCCACTTCTGAATGATTAATTACTTGCAGTCGATAGTCTGTGTTCAAGACTAAATCTGCAACGCAGCCTTTGATTCCATGCTTGTACCTTGTAAAGGACTGAAGGGAAGTGTTTGGCATTCCTCCTACGTAGAGGCCTTCATTCTCTCCTAGAGAAATGCTCATGGGAGGAATTTCTACGGACTGACGGGTCATCGCTGGCCCGTTGTCAACAATCAAGACAGCGGACGATCCATCTCTGAAATAAATTTTCATTACAATCCGTGATCTACAGCATGTGAAAAACGATTTTATACATCACCACTTCTACGCTCATTTTTATGTGACAAAACAATTTCATTTTAAAGAAAATCAAATGGCTTAAAAAAATGTAGAAAAAAGAAAATTAATCTTCGTACCAAATCAGGATAAACTGTTAAATTCTTATTGATCTGTTGGGAAAAGGCCATGTATGTGAGAGAGCGAGGGAGAGAGAACCGCAATTTGTTAAAATATAATGATAGTGTTATTTTAATTTTTAAATTTCAGAACAGCGTCATGTTGACCAAGGGTTTAATAGCGTGACCAGCATAAGATTTGATTTAAAGGTGAAGTTAAATGAGCTGTGTTTGAAACAAACGTGCTAATACATACATATGTAATTTTGTTTTAGATAATTTGCTATAGATAAAGCAGAAAGTTGAGCATGCACGATTTCTGCCTGAAAACCCGATCAGTAGCGAATTCAATTTATAAATAGCGTTAGACGGAGAATCCTCATAGATAGGTAAACACATTTATAAATGTAGTAGTCTACTGTCCTTGTGCAAGGAACCACGTTTTATATAGTTAATAATAAATAAACGATGAAACCGGTTTTCATCTTTTAATGCTTTCGAAACGTTCCTACATAAATTTGGTCCTTCAAGTTGGATGAAGGAACGGACATAAATTTGGTCCTTCGGGTTCAATCAAGAAACACACAAATAATGTAAAATGACATTTTTTCAAATTGTTCATCCATGTGACATTGTTTTTCATTTAGCAGACCGTTGGAACAAGCACCTATCGAGAAATGTGTAGATTATTTAATGTTACTTATCCTGATCCAATGCCACAATGAACAATGAAAAGTTTTATAAATGTAGGACACGTCCGAGATCTTTCTCATACTAGACGTCCTACAATGCAGGAATGGGTACAACTGGATGTATTATTGGCTTTATTAGCTTGTATCAGATGCTGAGATAAGAAAAACCATGTAGACAAAATATCCCGAATAAAAAAGTAACATATAAATTCCAGTTGTATGAGCTTGCTGAAGGAGACTTCAACAAACACGTAGAATTTTGCGACACAATAATGCTCATGTCTGATGCAGATCCACCTTTTGATCGTTCAGTAAATAAAAAAAGATGTAGATAACGTATTCGAGTAAGTAAGATGGATGCGAGAATTCCGCACTGAACATTCTTGTAAAGTCAATATTTCTTTGATCGGACTTTTCTTTTTTAACAGGAATCAGACGAAATAGTGATTTAGATTTTCTGAACAGTGTTTTTATTTCTGAATGATGAAGATCCGCATGTACTTGGTTGAATAATACTTTGTGTTACGCTACAAGGATGAAAGATTTTTGTTGGTCAGTTTCACCAGTACTTATTTCTTGTAATGAGTTTGTTATAAAAACAATCAAATTGCGAACTCTGTCACGCTTACTTTTACGGCAACGTTTAGTTGAAAACGAACATGAATTTTTAATCCCTTGCAGCAGAAAGAGGACAAGGTGGTAATTATTTATTAGGTTCGTTTAGATAGCTTTTTCTAAAAATACATCCAACGTTGTATTGTAACCAAGTATCAGAAAATAAATCCACTAACGTTACGTTTACTAGAACTAATGAGTTTCAGACAAAAGCTATAGATTTTCGAGTCAAATCCTGCATAATGAAACTATTCATCAGTTTAATTACAACGGTAAAAGGTACAAAGACAACGTAGTCATTAAAAACACGAAAAGCTAAGAAAACGAAACTTGCAATAGTAATGCGCAACTAAATTTGTTTTAATGAGCAAAGTATACCCAGTATATAAATTAATCATAATCACCTGATAGTGCACACGACCCATTAGACAGTTAACTGTAATCACCTAATTTAAGTTCATAAAACTTTGAATTCATTTTTTATTCTTAGCTTAATGAGCTGAAGTGAAGATTTTCCGAGTATGAAACGAGTACACCATTTGTCATCGTATGAATTTTCTTAAAGGCGAGCGCAGTTTGAATAATTAACCATGTCGCAAGATAAAATGACAATGGTGCTGTAATGTCAGCTCATTTTAAATCTCGAGGGATTCCACCGTAATGAAAATTAGTTATTTCGTGCAGAATTAAAGAAGACTCGAGCCTTATTACCTGACTGCTTTGACCCTGTGCCAGAGATTGTCATGGACGGTAGTAGAATTGTGCACAACAACCACTTCCTCTCCTCTCACAGTAAACCTGAGCACCAACGCGCCTTCTTCGAGTCCTAACGACAAGAATTCTCCATAACCCGAATTCATCCATAGTAATAATCCGGTTTCTGATGACACCTTAAACCGAACGTTAACATCTAGTGGATCAGAATTGAGGGCTTCGAGAGTGAAGGGCTCGTTATAGTGGAGGTAACTGTCTGTGCCGCGGAAGGAAGGAGGCCCTCTTGCACACAGTTGATCTCGGTAGCCCGGCTTGCATCTGAAACAATTTTCATAAAATTTAATACTTGATTTTAAAAGATAGTGTCATAAGCTTTCTAGTGTTATATACGGAAAACAATTTACGATGCAACATCTAAATCCAAATCTGGTATCTACTAAATCTCGACGTTTCAACAGAGCTGGAAGCGGTTATTATTAATAAAGATGGCACGCCAGAGGATAAAAGGCCCCAAAGTAAAAAATGTGTGAATACCATAAAAAGCATCACCAATAAAGTTTGATTAATCAGCAAGTGAACTAGACCTCCACACCATACCCAGATAGAAAAAGCTTGTGTGAGTAGTTAGTAAAGCAAAACCTGGTGATAAATCATCAATTCAGGGCGTTTCTAACTTGAATTCTGGTTGCAGGTATATTAAGTTGAAACCGGACACTCCGGAAAGGATTAAATTCATTTCTAAAATACAAAGTTTGGAACTTCATTTCCAAATAAAGCAGCTCAACCCAGATCACTAATATTCATCTTTAGAAAAGCAAGTGTAAACTCTGTGTGCTGTCAAAACGTGGTCATCAGTAGTTGCGTTGGGTTTTGCGTTGGTGTACATTGATTAACTCAAAATGAAAAAAATATACGTTTTGTTAATTAATTTTTCTTTCGTTCATTAAACAGTTTCAAAGCATACGGTGTATATTTTATTCAAGTGAACAAATAAATCAGTTTGGAATTATTATTTGTACAAGAAATAAACCGCTGTTGGACCACTCGTTGTATTGTATTGACCCAAGAAACATTTACTTTAAAGTCATTCATAGATTTCAAACTTATATTGACAATATTTTTTAACGAAGATGCATTTCTCTTTTAGTATTGCATCGACACACACGTTCTTTATAATGACGTCCATTGATTTTCTTCGTGTTAGAAGCACGATGTTTAAAAATGGACCTTTCATGGTGACACATCCTTTTATACCGTCGTTGGTATTCATAAAGCTGATCCAATTCGTTTGCTACACTTTCCAGAAAGCAAAAAATATTTTTAACATAGTTTCCTCACTTGTCCTAATTGTGATTCCAATTTCGTCAAACAACTTGTTTTGTTAACTAAAAATCTTTCACGTAAGTATAACTAGGAACAACTGATAGTTGCCTCGGTTTGAATAACGGCGTGGATGTTTCATTAATTCCAAGCCAGCTTAAGCAATGACAGATATTGCAACAGACGATGTGTTTATCTTGATGAAACAACACACCTCGTCTGAATTTGCCTCGTTGTCTGTCTCTTAATGTACGGTGTAATTTCGTTATTAATTAAGCAATTGCGTGTAATAAAATCACGTAATTGGAGTTCGTTTATGCAAATAATCAATTAAAATTATTTTCTCTGTAGACGGAATTATTTTGAATTTGCCTGCTCTGGCGAATCTTGTCTCCGTGTCTTGCTTTGGGATTTGCTTTGGGAATCGTGGTGATGAATCCACGATTTCACGATTCATCCATGAGTAAAATAGGAAATATTTAGTGCATTTTTACCATCAACAAAACGAGATTGCTCCTCTAGGAATACTATCGCGATTCAACTATGACATGATTATCACATTGTTCAATCGACATTTTTTCCGTGACTGCTACATCATATCCCATGTCGATAATACTGGTAATGGTATCATCAACACTCAAAAACTATGTTCTCATTTGTTCTTTAATTAACATGCCGGGTTTTTGTATAATTGTGACTACGACATAATCGTTATACACACGTTATAAGTAAGTATGTTATGAATACTATGAGTCAAATATTTAATGTACTAAGAATATGTGCGTGTCCAGAAAAAAAGTTGCTATTACTTAAAATTCACTTGACAGACAATATGTCAGATTACGCAGGAGAAGTTCTATCCCACCACGCAATGTCTCAGTATTATAATAACTAATAACTTACACTGATTCTTTGTTTATTTATTTTTGAAGTTTCGAACCTATTTATTTTCGTTTCAACTTTGAACAAAATATACTTCGTTGGTTTATCGCAAACAAGAATCCTCAGGGTTCGTCTCTTTGAGTTGTCTTTGTTCGTAATGCTAAATCAACGTTAGCCTTTAAAGACAAGTCGATATTTACAGCATCTCTGATATACTTGACCCATATTTTAGAGACTAATATGTAATAGTATTTCTCAATACAAATACAATACTTCCGTTAAAATAAAGCCAAAAATGCATTGCTTTGCAATAATTTTTTAATAAGTTAAAGAAAAAATGCTACTTCATCCGTCTGTAGTGTTAGTTTTTTGATTTATAATTAAAGAAAGGAAATACAATCTTACAAAGTTAGCCCTATTTGGCTTGGTTAAGATGCTAGTTTCTATGAAATATAGGAACATTTTTAAAAAAGTAACACTAGAGACATATAGATTAAAGTTTTGTCGTAACGATGGTAAAAATTATTTTTTGAAAATACCTTGTTTATCCAGAAAATTGATAGAAGTACAAACTATCTACAAAACGATTTGTACGTCAATGGGATGTGCTGCCTCCTGGTGTAATTTGATGAAAGTTTCAAAAGTACATTCCACTTCAAAAGTCGATTTGTATTGAAATAAGTAGTAGTGACGAGAGAGGCTTATATTTAAAAAATTTAAATTGTTTACGATGTATCTGAATGCTTTAAAAGCATAGCGTATGTTAGTTTAGTTGACGTTTCTACCGGAAGTAGCGAGCCTCTACTGCTTATGTGATTGATTTTTTCTTCTCCTCAGTTATTTGAAAAAATAGAAATTTAAAATATAGATTAAGGATTAATTAACACAAAGAAATTTTTATGTGCGTCAAATAGAATATATATTTTTACTATTTAAAAAATTTTTAAATAATGACATCCCAGGTTGGGGTACCATTCCCTAATTCGTTAAAATTTGTGATGACAGTTATATATTACAGAATGACGGTACCCCTACAGGAAACAATCCGGATTTAATTTTAGCGACCGATAAAGGTTTTATTCCCAATATTTCGTTGCTTGCTCGTTGCCGGCGTTCAAAACTCAATTCTCTTCTTCTTCAATAAGCTTATCTAAAAACTGTAGGCGATGGTGGTATAAAATAAAAGAAAAGAATGCATATTGTAGATAAGATAAACTTGCAAATATGCCGAATTTGCGCTACTTGATGTCTGGTCAACTGGTTTTACATAATCTGTTTCAAAGCTTTACCTAGTTCAGGTGCTTTTCTGTCTTTCAACTCGTTGTAAGTATTATATAGAATTTGAATACCACTACGGATACCTTATCAGTGAATTTAGTGTGTTGTGACAGTGTAGTTATTTCAAAATGGTAAAACGGAAAGGAAACAAAACAGGACTTTTTTTATCCGCGAAACGTCGGAAGTGTACAAATCTAGTAAATTATAACAGGTAAGATACAATTATGTAATTAGATACATAAAAATTGGTGTATATTAGTTAAAATTTATTTGATATCGTAGATACATACAGGGTTGCTAAAAAGTAAGGAAGTAGTTGAATATTGCGAGAACGATTTAACGGAACTTATTGACATTTGATGGTATACAAGTAAAAGTATTTGAACTCTTTCCTCTCAAATAGTATTCAAAGTTCCATAAACAACTTGATTTTTTTTTTAATTGGCATGAGGGGTCAAATTTAATTCTTTCTTTATTTGCACTAAAAAAAACATTAAAATAATAAATACAATTTGGAATATGTGAATTTTATTTGGCTTATAGGAAATGTTGTCTTTACCTATCATTGGTTCTTTACCACTTGTGCGTTGATAGAAAAATTAAATAAAAGTTAATAATAATTTTAAAAATTTAACTGAAATACAAGCAAAAAAATCCAAATTGTATTATTTTAATAGTTTTGTTGCCATTTATTTGAAAGAAAGAAAGACATGTGTTACATTACTGATTGCAGAAAAAATTTCTTTTTTAAAAAATATTAAATTTGACCCTTCGTGTTTTAAAAAAAAATCAATGTCGATAAAACAAATATTGATCAAAATTTGAATAGTATTTTAGACTAAAGAGTTCAAATATTTTTACTTTTGTACCACATTTCAATGAATTCTGATAAACCGTTCTCGCGATATTCAACTGCTTCCATACTTTTTAGCGACCCGTACATACAATTAATGGTTTAAAAAAACACGGGGCAAGATTAGCAAATCAGCTTCTCATAGATCAATAAAAAGCAATGGGAATGAGACATTTATGTCACTCTCATTTGCTCTGTTTTTTTCGATAAATGTATGTATTATATCAATGTTTATCTTAGTACCTATATTTTGGAAAACAATTTCTATATCTACTAATTTTTTAAAGGTGTAAAAGAGCTGGTTTACCCTACCTTAATAGAAGTACAACCTCGAAGAAAACATCAGCATCTGATAATGGAGAACCTTCTAATAACGAGAGGTATGAGTGTGTCTTTACCTTAGATCATATAATAAATAGATACCAATACTCAAACTGAAAGGTGTGACTAGACATGAAGCTATCTGTTGTCGTTTTCTACGTCCAGGGGAGTAGTATAATGCTATCCTTGTGAGATCACCACATCTTCATCTTTGTTATATGCATTTCATCTGTATATGTCTATTTCACTTCCATCCTTGTACCGCACCAGCGCAACAAGTCGCTTTTGACAGATGTTTCTTCTAACCTCTCTTTCGAGTTGTTGCACAAAAAACAATTTTAGAATTTAGAACAAAGATCCTATTTTAAGTGATGTAGTCATAAAGGATCACAATTGCTGCCCAATAATTTACTATTGCTTTCGTTATCTACTGTGAATTATTTATAAAATCAAGCTGTCAACATCTTTCTTCCGAAGTTAGTTCAGACATACTTCCTAAAACTTAGGCGCGCAAAATTCAAATAGTGATCAGGCAAGGATAGCTTCATTGTAATCCCTCCATGCACGAGAGAGATGTGTGACAGGAGGATGTCGTCACAGGCTGTCCTAGGGAAAGAACACAGCATGGTGGTATCTATTTATTATATGATCTAAGGTCTTTACT